GCGCTGGCGGAGTAAATGATCCGTGAGGACGAGTGCTGCCATCGCTTCGACAATAGCGGGTGCTCGTACCAAAACACAGGGATCGTGTCGTCCGCTTGCCTCTAATGTCACCTCATTCCCGTGCATATCAACAGTCTGTTGCGGTTTACCGATTGTCGCTGTCGGCTTGAAAGCGACTTGGAACAGAATATTTTCGCCGTTTGAAATACCGCCCTGTGTGCCGCCGGAATTATTTGTGCGCGTCCGAATGCGCTCCATCCCGTCGTCCTTTTCGAGATAAAAGGGATCGTTATGTTCAGATCCCGTCATCGTAACACCCGCAAAGCCGGAGCCGATTTGGAAACCCATCGTTGCGGGAAGAGACATCATTGCTTTCGCCAAATCCGCTTTGAGTTTATCGAATACAGGTTCGCCGAGTCCTACAGGGACATTACGAGCAACTGATTCAATGATACCACCGAGAGAGTCAAGATCACGCCGCGCCTGATCGATGCGTTCCGCCATTTTCGGACCAACAATCGGGTCGGGACACCGGACAGGACTCGCCTCTATATTTTCAAGCGTCACCGTGTCTGCATCCACTTCGGCTTCGAGTGTATGAATCTGTTTGACATACGCGAGCGTTTCAGTTCCGGACACCTCACGCAAGACCTGCTTCGCAATTGCCCCCGCCGCGACACGTCCGATGGTTTCCCGTGCACTCGCTCTACCGCCACCCTGCCAATTCCGGATGCCGTACTTCTCTTGATACGTAAAATCGGCGTGTGAAGGTCGATAGACATCTTTCAGATGTTCATAGGCTGCAGGACGCGCGTCCTTATTCCAGACCAGCATGGAGATAGGCGTTCCGAGCGTTTTGCCTTCAAAGACCCCAGAAAGTATTTCAACAGTATCGCTCTCCTGACGCGGTGTCGTGAGATGGCTTTGACCCGGTCTCCGTCGATCCAGTTCAAATTGTATCGCGGATATATCCAGGTTAATTTGTGGTGGACATCCGTCAACGACAACGCCAACAGCCCCGCCGTGCGATTCGCCCCAGGTCGTAATCCGAAAAAGGTGACCGAACGTATTCATTTAGTTCCATAGGCGCGCTTTGGAAGCGTGCGCCTTTACTTTTAGAATTGTATATTTTGAAGATCTTGTGATATACTATATCAAATTCTGTCGTAAAAAGCAAGCAATTTAAAGGATTTTTAACTATCAGGTTTCTGCCCTGCCTTCCAAATGTAAAGCAAAGACAAATTATGCCATTTAAGGTATAATTTCATTACAGGCAGGTTTTCTGAGTATTCTGAACATCCTTCTCAAAACCGAAACACAAGCCCGTAACATTGTCCCGCAAGGGAAATTGGCAGTTGCCGGTTAGCAGTTAGCAGTTGGTTAAGAAGTTTTCGTCTAACACAGGGTTCTTCTTAAGATAACCTCAAAACCTGTAGCCTGTAATGAAATGGAAGGCGGATATAAGAAAGAAAGCCGATAGTTCTGACCGACGTTGTTTCTCCGCAAGGGAAAATTAAAGAATCCGCAAGGGAAAATTAAAATATGCTGTCAATTTTTAAACGTTACATTGCGCTACTCCTGATTTTCATAGGCATTGGGTTTCTATGGAATACGTTGTTTGTGTATCCCCTCAAAATCTTTGTCGTCTTTATGCATGAGGTGAGCCACGGGCTTGCGGCGATCGCAACTGGAGGTCGTATTGTAGAAATTCAGATTAACCCGCAGCAGGGAGGGCATGCGCTGACACAAGGAGGCTCTCGGTTTTTGACGTTGACCGCGGGCTATCTTGGCAGTCTACTGTGGGGTGGACTCATCCTACTCTTGGCAGCGAGAACCCACTTCGATAAAGCGATTAGTATCCTTATCGGCATCGGCATGGTGGCTATCTCCATCGGGTTCGGCGAGAGTACATTTACGTATCTGTTCGGCATCGGCTTTGGCGTTGCACTGGTCGCCATCGGTTTCTACCTCCCAGAGGCAGTCAACGATTGGATTCTCCGTATTATCGGTGTGACGAGCTGTCTCTACGCGATTCTTGACATTAAAAGTGATGTCTTGGACAGATCCAATCTCCGTTCGGATGCCCGAATGCTCTCGGAGGCAACAGGCATTGCAACTGAGATTTGGGGTATCCTGTGGATTTTCATTGCAATTGGACTCACTTTCTGGTTTCTCTACCTTGCAGGCAAAACAGCGGATGTTGAGCCAACATCTACCGAGGAAGATCTCTAATTCGCTGGGATGCTGATGGTCGATGGGCATGCCGATTCAGGAAGTCCCTATTAACCAAACGGACTAAAGTTTTGAGATGACACGCCACTGAAGAAGATAAACCACACACAGAGACCTAACAGAAAAAGTGGAACACAGATAAGCACTATGAGAATGAAAAATCCCCATATCCACGACTTTTTGGATTTGGAAACCGTTGCCAGCCGTGCGAGCAACACACCCCCACATATCATAATTACAACAACAAAAGCGAATACCGCCATCATTACCATTTCTTGTTCTTTCCTCCCATCAGCCAGACCGTAGCAATACCCATTATTAAGAAATATGAAACACCCTTCAAAAAGTCCTATTACGCTACGTGCAACGCTGATCGGTATCCTTCTCATCCCCTTTAACAGCTACTGGATTCTACATCTCAGTTATATCTGGGATTCCAACCGGCCTACGAGCTTGGCATTACTGTTTAATGTCCTATTTACGTTGCTTGTCCTTATCGGATTCAGCGCGCTCCTGCGTCGTTTACGCCCAACACTGGCGTTTACACAGAGCGAGTTGTTAACCATCTATGCGATGCTGTGCCAAGCCTCTGTTTTCGCAGGTCGCGATATGCTACAAGTCTTAGTGCCGTTAATGGGTAACGGTTTTTGGTACGCAACAACCGAAAACGAATGGGCACAACTCTTCCACCAACACCTACCCGAATGGCTTGTTGTTGGAAAACCAGAGGTCCTGCAAGGCTTCTACAAAGGCGAATCCACGTTCTATCTTCAGACAAACATACAGGCATGGTTGCTGCCAACACTGATCTGGGTGGGCTTCTGCCTCGTTATCGGGGTGACAATGCTCTGCCTCAACGTGCTTTTACGCAAGCAGTGGCAGGAACATGAACGACTCACCTATCCGATCGCACAACTTCCATACGAGATCACACGAGCGGCTTCAAACGTAGGAAACCCCCTACGAACTACGTCTCATCTATTTTTTAATAAACGGATGATGACGGTCGGTTTATGCATCGCTGCTGTCCTGAACCTCCTCTATAGTTTACACCAAATTGATCCTGTTTTCCCTACAATTCCGCTGTATCGCGGATTCCGACTTCCCGATAAGCCGTGGAGCGCAATGAACAACCCGGGTTTCCGTATCAGTTTCTTCCCGTTTGCAATCGGCGTAGGTTTCCTGATTCCGCTGGATTTAGGGTTTTCTTGCTGGTTCTTTCACCTATTCTGGCACTTTGAACGGATCGTCGGCGAGAGTTTTGGTTGGCGAGGGGCTATCGGATTTCCGAGAGAAATGTCGCAAATCCGAGGTGTATGGATAGCCCTATTCCTCTGGACCTTATGGATGGGACGCGCACACGTCAAGGTAGTGTTGCAGACGATTTTCAGTAGGGGCGGGGTACACCCTGCGGAAAAACCCACCCCTACATGACGAAGGTGAAGCGTTACGCTACAGAACAGCCGGAATCGGGGTGCTTGTCGGATTTATTTTGATTATGGGATTCTGCCTCAAGGCAGGGATGTCGCTCTGGTTTGCCGGTCTATTTTTCGTGCTCTATCTCGCGATGTCCATAACGATCACCCGCATTCGCGCCGAACTGGGACCACCGGCACACGACCTTTACAACGCTGGTCCAGACTTGCTCTTGACAGATGCACTCGGCACACGGCGCATCGGGAATCGGAATCTTTCGGTGATGTCGCTCTTTTTCTGGCTGAATCACCTCTCTTACCGCGCGCATCCGATGCCGCACCAATTGGAGGGACTGAAGCTCGCACATCAAACCCGTTTCAACCCCACCCAACTGCTATGGGTATTAGCGATCGCTATTTTTGTAGGTGCACTCTCCGCGGCGTGGGGACACTTACACCTCTCCTACCAAGTCGGCTTAGAACAAGCGCGTTCATGGTATGCTCGCGCCGCGTTCAACAGGCTCGCGGGATGGCTTTATAATCCGAGCGAAACGAGTCTCAGCGGTATGCTCTATACCGCCGGTGGATTTGTTTTCGCTATCAGCCTTTTGCTCTTGCGATGGCGATTCGTTCAGTGGCCCCTACACCCCGTCGGTTATGTCGTCTCAAGCTGGTGGACGTTTACTGGACTGTGGTTTCCGCTCTTAATCAGCTGGATCGTTAAACGGATTCTTCTCTCGACGGGTGGTGTTCGGTTGTATAGACGTTCGATCCCCTTTTTCATCGGTTTGGTTATTGGGGATGTAATCGTTGCATCCATCATTAGCATTCTGGGATTGATTTTCGACTTTCGTGTCGTCTATCTGAGTTGGTAATGCCTCCCGCCTGACGAATCAAAATAACCGATGCTGAAATCTCAGTATGAAATAAAACGAAAATGTAGTCTTGAAATTTCCGCGCAAACCTGTTATTATTATTCACGATGGACACAACAGATTTATCACTCAGTGTGAATATCGGCGGGATTCAGATGCGGAACCCTGTCATGACGGCATCTGGCACATTCGGCTACGGCAGTGAATACGTCGATTTCGTGGATTTGAACCGACTCGGTGCCATCGTTGTTAAAGGCGTTACGAGCGTGCCGTGGCCCGGCAATCCGATGCAACGCATCATGGAAACCCCTTCTGGCATGCTGAATGCGATCGGACTCCAAAATGTCGGCGTAGACGGCTTCATTTCGGAGAAGCTACCCTATCTGCGTGATTTTGATGTGCCGGTGATTGTCAACGTCTGTGGCAAAACGGTCGAAGAATACCTGATAGTAACCGAGAAACTGAACAGCGCAGATGGTGTTGCTGGTATAGAGCTTAATATCTCCTGTCCGAACTTAGACTGTGGTGGTATGAGTTTCGGTGTTGATGCCACATTGGCACACCAACTCGTTAAAGAGGTTCGGGCGAAGACCCACCTACCACTATTGGTGAAAACTATCCCCAAACGTCACAGATATTACGCTGATTGCTCGTGCTGTTGAGGACGCTGGCGCAAACGCGCTCTCTGCCATCAACACGCTCCTCGGTATGGCGATTAACACAGAAACACGGAAACCGGAACTCGCAAACGTGACAGGTGGACTCTCAGGTCCCGCGATAAAGCCGGTAGCATTGCGATTGGTTTGGGAGGTTTACAAAAGCGTCTCCATCCCGATCGTTGGGATGGGCGGAATTATGACTGCGACAGACGCTATCGAATTTTTCATCGCTGGTGCGGCTGCTGTGGCAATTGGGACAGCGAACTTCGTCAACCCGCAGGCATCAATGGAAGTAGTGAAAGGCATCTACGACTACCTCAAAGAGGCAGGTATGGTGTCAATCAAGGAATTGGTCGGTAGTTTACAGGTCGATTCGTCAACAATTGTCTAAACTGGAATTTACAGGATAAGAGAGGTTTGGGACAGGCGTACTGGAGTGTTTGCTTGGGTGTTTTCGCCCTCCAGTACTGGTCGGAAACCCTGATACCGATCTTCTGAGGTCAAAAAACCAAGCCTGTAATGAAATGGAAGGCGGATATACGAATAGGCACATCAAATGCCAAACCCGTCTTACCGAACCGCAAGGAAAATTAAAAAAAGAAAAATGAGGCATCTGGTAACACTCGACGATTTGTCGAATTTTGAGATTGAACAAATCTTTCGACTCGCAGCAGGCATGCAGTCGCAACTGGAGACATGGGCAGGGATCTGCCGAAGTAAATTGCTGGCAACCCTCTTTTATGAACCGAGCACTCGGACCCGGCTTTCGTTTGAAAGTGCGATGGAACGGCTCAACGGCGGCACCCTCGGTTTCGCCGATCCACAAGCAACCTCCATCACTAAAGGGGAAACCCTCGCCGACACCGCACGGATGGTGACGAACTACGCCGATCTCATTGTCGTGCGGCACAACTGGGCAGGTGCGGCGCGCGTCATTGCACAGCACGCACATATCCCAGTCATCAACGGCGGCGATGGGAGTCATACACATCCGACGCAGGCACTCGCGGACCTTTATACCATTATACGGCGAAAATCCAAGTTTGAATCTCGCAAGCCAAGCCTTGCTTTCATAGAAGGGTTAACTGTCGGTATTTGCGGAGATCTTCAGTTTGGACGGGCGGCACACTCCTTTGCCCTCGCAGTCGCGCGATTTGGGGGGAACCTGATTCATATCGCGCCGAAACCGCTACAAATGCCACTGTGGGTGCTCGCGCAACTGGAACAGTGCCATGAGCAGATACCTCTTGAGGTAGAAAGTATCACAGAAGTGATTGATAGACTGGATGTCATTTATGTCAATCGACTTCAGGAGGAACGGCTTCCGCCGAATATGGACGCGGCAACCGTACGCGGGAGTTACCTGTTGAATGCAGCAGTCATGAAGCATGCCAAACCTGATGCGATGATTATGCATCCACTCCCCCGTGTCAATGAACTCGCCTATGAATTAGACGACGACCCTCGCGCCGCCTATTTCGAGCAATCGGCGAACGCAGTGCCGGTTCGGATGGCACTGATCGCCAGCCTCATGGGGTTGGAACAACTCATCTTGACACAACCTCCAGAACGAGACATTGCCGCTTCTACACGGACATGTGAAAACGCAAATTGCGTTACTCATCACGAGACCTACCTAACTCCTGAACGCGAGACGTTTAAGGGTAATGTCAAATTGCACGCTTGTGCGTATTGTGGAAACCTACTCTCGTAAGGCAATCACAAGGAACAGTGCCAGAACCGACAGCCTTACACCCAAACGTTCCATAATAGGCATCTCCTTTTAAAGTCCATCCCTGTAGAGCTCGTTAGGTTTCACTGGGGAACACCCGGCAACTTCAAAATCAGATCTTCGCGGCGCTCCCCGACTCTGAGCACAAACATCTCCGACGTTGCGCAAAGCCCCTTATATTCGACTGACACCCTATAGCTGACTGCTTTACTCCTATCTACATACTGCACAAAGTATCCTTGAGCATCAGTCTGCCTTGACCCTTGGATGCCTCCAACAACGTTATCCTTACGTAAATCCAACACTCTTATGTTGATGTCAACCTCCTTATTTGCCAAGGGTGTGCCATCTGCAAAAACGATTTTCGCGCGAATCCGCATTCGGAGCCGCACCGTGACCTCTACGCTTACGATTTGTACGCCCGACGTGATAGAAAAGGTATTTTGGGTAGAAAAGAGAGGGAGCCGGTCATTCGGATGGTAAGTAAAATCTCCGATTTTGATGGAAAGAAGTTGATATTCTGTCTCAGGGGATAGACCGTTCTGATACTCAGGAACCAGCATAAATTGAAATTCTCCGGGACGGATATTTGTGATTGAGAAAAGTCCTCTGTCATCGGTCTCCACTTCCATAGCTACAGCATACGTCCGTGCCCCAGTATTATCGTCAATTGTGCGAGGTTGAATGACTAACGCAAGCCCAGCAACTGGATTTCCAGTTTCATCAACAACGCGTCCCGAAAAACTGGCTGTGTCTCCTTCTATCACGGTTTCCGATAACGCGAAGGAAGATGTATCCTCAGTCTCACCACACCCCAGTAGAGTGCAAATCACGAGGGAAATTACCACAATTCTATACAAAAGGTTTGGGCAATTCATAAGCCATCTCCTTTTCATGCAAGCAGAACGTTCCACACATCCTGCTCAAGTTAAAGCATTATAGTAAAATCCGAGAATATGTTCACACTTGTAGCATAGGAGACTGTTAGCCTGTGCCAAGTACCTTCACAGTTCGCGTGACAATACGAGTGTATAAGTAATTACGGAATCTACTATAAATTGAAAAATATATGCCTAACATTAACGTATCATAGACTTTGTGGTGAGGTTTGACTAATTAATTGAAAAAATTGTGCGGGAGAAGCGAAGGTTGAACAAAATAGCCGTAGATTCAAAACTATCATTACTATCATTTCTCTTTGGCAGGAGAACCGTAAAGCACTTCCGACTTTTCAAGGATCGCCATCTTCGTCATACGCCAGATAATACTATCTACTCATCCACAGACTTTGGTATCGGGGACATCGTAGAAACCAATCCATCTTTTTCGATGACCGCCTGTCGTGCCATGCGCCAGAGCGGACTTTCAGGGCCGGTGGACTGCCATCCGCCTTGTCTAAAGGTGACCACGACATAGTCTTTTTCGGCATCTGGAAGTCTATCAGGGAAGTTGGTTGGGTTGCCCAGTTGGTGTAGGTGACGGGTTCACCGCTATCCCACTGCCATTCCCCCTCTTTCTCCACATCGGTAAGTCCGATCCAAAAGGGTTTGTGCGTAAAAATTACCTCAAGCCAGCGCTGTTCGGCTTCGTCGTTGATTGAGACGAGGTGCGCCCCTTCCTCAACCGCCTTGCGTTGGGCATCTTGCCAGTCTTCACACTGAACCTTTTTGTAAGCGTGTCCCATTTGTGGGATTAATGATCCACACGCTCTTCGCTGGCGGTAGTGCGGGTAGTTCTCGGAATTCAATGTCACCGGGAACTGGAATGCTATCAGCGGGTGGTTCGATAGGATCCGCTTTACCTTCAAGCGTTAAGACAATCTCCTCAGGTTGCACGCCATCTTTGAGCAAAAAAGGACCTGCCCCCGCAGAAAGGTCGTTATATTCTACAGACAGCGTATAAAACCCCGGCTCATCTGTATATTGTGTAAAATACCCATCGGCATCCGTAAAAAAGTTGGTTCTAAGGGTTCCACCGTGATTCGGACGGAATTCATGATTTTGTTCCATAGTGAGATCCGCTTCGGCATTAGCAAGAGAGGTGCCATCGGCGTAAATAACGCGTCCACGAATCCGAAGTCGTGGTTTGACGGTAATTTTGACATCTTCGATGGTTACGCCGGGTTCGAGGGCAAACGTGAGTCCCTCAGAAAAGTGGTGTCTCCCATATTGAAGAAGGTGACCTTCCCGACTTGAATAGAGAAAATCTTCTTATCTGGCTCATGGCTGCCATGCCTCATCAATTCGGGCGGAAACTCCCCTTCTGGCGGAAACTTCTCCGGGTCAAACATCTCAAACGCATCCAGTGCGGTCTCTGGAAGTGCGATTAATTGAACAAGTTCTGGTTGGATATCGCTGACAGTGAAAGCACCCGTTGAATCAGTTTCCCCCATAGATAAAGAAAATAGGAATCCACGTTCCGGTCGTAGAAAACCGTCGTGTAGTTGTACAGGTTGAATGCCAAATACAAAGCCAGCGACGGCGTTTCCCTCTAAATCGACGACTTTCCCCGAAAGTCCACTAAGTTCCTCATCCGCTGCTGCAATGCCTGTTACGACAAACGAAAGTATCAATGCAAGTACGGCTAACTTGGGTGTAATATAGGTCGGGTTCATGTCAATACCTCCTCGTGTCTTGATACGCTAACGCTTTTCAATATCATCGTCTAATTCAGGTGTTCCAACGGTGAAACGCTCTTTTTCCAGAATAGCGCGCTCAGTCAGACGTGCGAGAGGGTTACCCTGACGCGCCTCTTGCCATTTCCCTGTCAATCCGATGAGAACAGTGTAATTCTGGGTTTGCCTCACCGTCTTGACCAGACCCTTCATCGCCAGCAGTCTTCTCCGGTTGACTCCAGTTGGTATACGTGACAGGTTCGCCGTTATCCCAGTGTGGATTCTCCGTTTTTAAAGCGTCAGTCAGTCCAATCCAATAGTTTTCTTGTCCAAAAACTTCAAGGAGCCATTCCTGTTCTGCTGTATCGTTGATAGCAACGAGATGCGCCCCTTGGCGACAGCGTGGGCGTGTGCTTCCCCACGGCTTTCGCAATAAATTCTTTTGTAGGCGTGTCGGTTTTCAGGATTGACCGCCCACATACCTTGACGATCACGGTTCCACGCGGCTTGAAAGCGTTCCCTGTCGGGGGCGCGGGCGACTGCCCGGTCGGGTTTGGGAGGTGCCTTACCGTCGAGCGTCAAGACGAGTTTATCGTGGCGCTGCCAGTCTTCAAGCAATATTTCCTCAGATGTTGCGGACTGCCCCTGATATCCTACGGAGACAGTATAATAAGCAGGCTCTCTTACATATTCCACAAAGTAACCATCGGCATCAAGGTCTCTCGTACCTCCACCACCACCTCTGCCGCTGCCATCTATGTCGCGACGTTCTATCCTGATGCCAACTCGTGCTCATTGCGAAGCGGGGTGCCGTCTGCAGAAAGAACGCGTCCGCGAATTCGCATTCTCGGACGGACGGTTATTTCCACATCTTTGATATCTGCTCCCGGCGCAATGGCAAATGTGAGACCACTATAGCGACTCCGCTGTTCATCAATATAGAAGGATACACCCGTCAATTTTGGCAATGCGGATTTCATACGCTGCAGCACGTAAGGGAAGCAACACCAATTGAACTGAAGGTGAAGTAATATCGTTGATTAGGAACTCGCCGACTTCATTCGTTTCAGCTTGTTGAGAAGGAGAGAAACACGGGCTCATCTTGGTCCTGAGGTGTGGTCACTCTGAACGCGGGAAGGGCTAATTCGATGCCAGAAACGGGCTGTCCCGCCTCATCAATAACGCGACCGGAAAATGTCGTAGCCGCACTCTGGAGAGGCGTTAAGAACAGGAGTGCGATACTGCCGATAAAAGTTACAAGGTAAGGGATATGGGAACGGTTCATTGTGAACGCCTCCTTTTGTGAATTTCAAGGGTTTACTCAAAAAGGGTTATTGGGTAGGTAACACACGGAAAATGACACCAGCCGTGCTGCGCCGAATCAACTCATTGTGTAAATAATAACACGTCTGAGAGCTTGTGTCAATCCAACGGATATTTAGGTCGAGGACCCACATAGTAGTAAACGATAAACTTAAAGCCTTAGTTTACCATTCAATCGCTGTCAATGACACTATATTGCAATTGTTGACAAAATTTAGGGAAAATGGTAACATAACATCAAGGTCCACAAAATAATCCGTTTCAAGCGGCGGGGTGCTGCTTGCAAGCCCATATTAATTTTTTTGAGGAATCTCAATGAAGATAACAAAATTGGAAACTTTTCTGGTGCAACCGCGTTGGCTCTTTCTTAAAATCCACACGGATGAAGGTTTAGTAGGACTCGGTGAGCCAATTTTAGAGGGACGTGCGAAAACGTGTGCGCAAGCCGTTGACGAACTTGCCCCCTACCTCATCGGTCAAGATCCGAGACGTGTTGTCCACCACTGGCAAGCGATGTATCGCCACGCATTCTACCGCGGCGGTCCGATTCTGACAAGCGCGTTGAGCGGCGTGGAGCAGGCACTTTGGGATATCGCGGGGAAGTCGTTGGGTGTCCCTGTCTATCAACTCTTCGGCGGACCGACGCGCGACCGCATCAGGTTATATAAAGGCGGTGGCGATCCAGAGGGAATCAAAGAGTGGATTGATAAAGGGTTCACCGCTTTCAAAACAGGCGTTGCAGGCGGCAGACCCGCACGTATCATCGAAAATAAAGCCTTCATCGACAAAGCTGTAGACCATTTCGCAGCGTTGCGTGAAGCCGCAGGCACAGAGGTTGATCTCGCGATTGACTTTCACGGGGCAGTCAGTCCACAGACAGCGAAGGTTCTAATCAAGGCTTTAGAACCCTATCAACCGATGTTTGTGGAAGAGCCGATTCAGTGCCAAAATGTGGATATGCTCGCTGAAATTGCCCGCGGAACGCATCTCCCGATTGCGACAGGTGAGCGCGTGTTCACAAAGTGGGGTTTCCGTGAAATCTTAGAGAAACAGGCAGCATCTATTCTCCAACCCGACCTCTGTCACGCCGGAGGTATCAACGAGGTGCGCATCATCGCCGGTATGGCAGAAGCCTACTATGGTGGTATTGCGCCGCACAATCCTCTCGGTCCCATCTCTTTAGCGGCGTGTATTCAGTTAGATGCCTCTATCCCGAACTTTCTGATGCAGGAGCATACGACACTCGGTGAAGGCTATCTTAAGAATCCATTCGTCTTCAAAGATGGATTCATTGAACTCCCTACCGGTCCTGGGCTCGGCATCGAACTCGATGAAGATGCGCTCGAAGATAAGATTGACCACGATTGGGAGAATCCTGTGACATACCATCCAGACGACGGTTCCGTCGTCGATTGGTAAAGTAATAGGCACGCTCCGACGTGCCATAATCTGATGGGAAAAATATGAAGTTTATCATGTTCACGAAACATCTGGAAGGCTTAGAAATTCCAGATATTATCACCGCGTTGCAATCGGTAGGGGTCAGCGGTGCGGATCTGTGTGTCCGCCCTGGCTATCCGGTGAACCCGGAAAATGCGACGGAGGCGTTACCTGCCGCCGCAAAGCAGTTCGCCGCTGCCGGCTTGTCTATTCCACTTGTCACAACACCGGGTGATTTTCTTAATCCGGGGCAGGAAGAGACGCGCCGTGTCTACGCCGCTGCAGGTGAAGCAGGTGTCGAAAATATCAAACTGGGATACTGGCACTGGCACGCAGAGGATGGCGGCTACTGGGCACAGGTCGATTTTATCCGTAAGCAATTGGACGGGTTTGCGAAACTCTCTGCGCAATACGGACCTCGGACATGCATCCATAACCATTCTGGAACCTCCATGGGGCTGAATTCGTGTGCAGTGATGAACCTCGTAAAAGGTTTCGACGCGCAGCACGTCGGCGTTTTTGCCGATACAGGACACCTGTCCATCGTCGGGGAACCGATTGACATGGCACTGGATATTGTCAAATCGCATCTCGCAGTTATCGCCTTCAAGGACCTTGCACGTTCGCCCGGCACGCGCGGCGGCAGAGTCGTCCGAATGGGACAAGGCTTCGTTGACTGGGAGACGGCAGTAAATACGCTACAAACAATCGGCTTTTCAGGTCCCGTGAGTTTCCATAGCGAATACAGCGGAGAGCCCGTGGAAACCGTTATCGATCTCGCCCGTGTAGATGTCCGCTTCATTAGCAGTCTGTTGAACAAATAAGGGGGTTTTGAAGAGCAAGTTTTGGCTTGCAAGCTTCGCCAAAAAGCATGACACAATTTCAGTTAGGTTTAAATACAAGCACAATCCGCCCAGCCGGACTCATGGATAAGATTCGGATCGCTTCCGAAACCGGCTATTCAGCGATTGAGTTATGGAATGACGATTTAACGGCTTACGAGGAACAGGGTGGTTCACTCACCGATGTCAAAAAAGCACTTGATGATTATGGGCTTTCGGTGCCTACCGTTATCGCCTTGCATGGCTGGCTTAACACGACCGGTGAGGAACACCAGGAAGCGATTGAAGACGCAAAACGGCGCATGGCACAAGCCGCCGCTGTCGGATCGACCTACATCATCTCAAGTCCACCACGTGAGGTGGCAGATCTCCAATTAGGTGGCGAGAATTACCGCGAACTGCTTGAACTCGGACGTGAATTCGGCGTTAAACCTGCTATGGAATTTCTCGGTTTCGTCGATGGGGTCAATCAAGTCAAGCATGCATGGAAAGTGATGGAAGTGGCAGATCACCCGGATAGTACGATTGTCCTTGATCCGTTCCATATCTATCGCGGTGGCGGGGCAATAGACGATATGAGAGGCATCCCCGGCGAAAAAATCGCTGTCTTCCACTTTAACGATGCACCTGCGCAACCTGCGCGTGAAGCACAATCGGACGCGGACAGAGTATACCCCGGCGATGGTATCCTTGACCTCGGGCAGATGATCTCTATTCTGAAAAACGCGGGATACGCAGGTGTTATCTCATTAGAATTGTTCAACCCAAACTATTGGGAACAAGATCCGGCAGAAGTCGCACGAATCGGATTGGAAAAGATGAAAGCCGCTCTGTCTGATTCTTAGTCGGGATCCAGAAAACACCAAAGCCAAAAAGCGTATTGATTTTCTACACGTATGTGGTATAATAATAGCAAAGAACATCTTACATGTCTCCTCGCGCTTCTGAGTGGGGAACTTTAAAAAATTAATAAGGAAAAGTTGAATGACTTACGTTGACGGATTATTGTCATCGCTGACGCGCGTTAAAAAAGCACGTTCGTTACGCGCTTCTTCATGGGATACAACAGGTAGGAACAACGATGCCTGGGATGTCGAACCCGGCGAAACCCGTGTTATCGCAGACATTCAAGGACCCGGCTGTATCAACCATATTTGGATGACGCAGCCAAACGGTTATCGAAACGTACTGATCCGGATGTTTTGGGACGATGAGGAACACCCGAGTGTCCTATGTCCGTTAGGTGACTTCTTTGGACTCGGCAACGAAATTGTTAATTCATACGATTCCATTCCGTTCTCCGCTTCTACAAACCAAAACAATCAGTTCAATACAGGTTGCGCGCTTAACTGCTACCTGCAGATGCCGTTTAACCGCAGCGCAAGGATTGAACTCGTCAACGAAGGTGATACAGCCACCGCCAATACTTCTACATCGACTATGAACAGTACCCTGAGCCGCTTGGTGATGATATTGCCTATTTCCACGCCCAATTTCATCGTGAAAACCCGTGTGATGGGTGGGGACATGAAATTCGCGTTAATACGCCGGAAGCCAATATTATCAACGCGGAACGGCTCGCATGGGACAACAATTACCTGATTCTGTCCGCCGAAGGTAGAGGACACTATATAGGTTGCAACCTGTCGGTTACCAACTTTCAAGGCACGTGGTGGGGTGAAGGCGATGATATGATCTGGGTCGATGGCTATAAGTGGCCCCCAGATCTGCACGGTACAGGTTCAGAAGATTATCTCAACCAAGCTTGGGGAATGCAACAGAACGCGTTTGCACACAACGGTTCCTCTATCTACGAAAATAATATCGACGGCTACCAGACCTCCTATGTCTATCACATTGAAAACCCGATCCGCTTCGAGAAAGAGATACGGGTTACGATAGAGCACGGACACGGGAACCATCTCAGCAATGAGACGTCCTCTGTCGCATACTGGTACCAAATCGAACCCCATACGCCCTTCGGTGTGCTACCTGTCGCTCAACGCAAGCCCGTGCTGAAGGACGAATCTGGGGCATGGCAGATTGAAGCATCTGCCCATGACCACCGTCGATGGCGCGAAGAACTCGTGCCTCGAATGACGACATGAAAGCCAGTCAAATCCCTGAAACACAGAAAAACATCGCCGAACCGCAGAAAAAAAAATGCTCACCGGTTTTCAACAGTTTTTAGCCACTTGCATCGGAATACGGAGAAGAGACCGACCCATCGGTTTCCGATGCACAGCAGAGTGACGAACACCAAACCGAATCGGAATTCGCAACTGACGATAATTCCACGAATGATGCTGAATCCGCAGCATCAGATATCTCCGATACCCCGGTTTCTGAACCCTCGGAAACCGAAAACAGTCTTTTCGAGCTGTCTGAGTCGGAGGAAACACCCTCTGAAGACGATGTGTCTCCGTTTGTCGCAGATGATGACAATCCTCAAATACAATCGGACAGCGAGGTCTTACCTATCTCTATAGACGAAGAGGCTCACGCCAGCGAGGACAACATTCCAGACACACCCAGCGCAGAAGAAACATCTGTCGTCGAGATCGCCACCCTCGCGCCGTCCGATGATGAAGCAACTGAGTCATCGGAAGACACCGATCCTATTTCCGAAGATGAGTCTGAACAGGAAAGTGAGGGTGCTATAGCGCAGCACGCACAGATTTCTGACGTTGAAGCAGATAGAGGCGAGGTAACCTCGCCCCTACCGCAGGAAACAGACAGAAGCGACGATACCGAAACAGAAGCAACAGCCTCCGAAGCAGAGCAGAAAAAAACGCCGTTAGAACTTGGCATTATTGAAGAGATTTACGACTTCGTGGAGATGTTTGGACAAAGCACTGTTTCCGGTACAGACCAGGCATCCGTCAGCGGCACAGATTGTTCCGGCGGCGTGACAAAGCCCGCTATCTTTGAACATCCAACCCCAACAGAAGCTGCAAAAATCGACTACACGCTGTCACTTCCGGATGTTGATAAAAAAGAGAAACTCTTCGTACATTTTTCCATCGGATTACGGGATGGTGTTGTTTTTGACGACGCAGAGCGACAGCCCGGAGGCGTAAAGTTCGCTATCGAAATTTTCGATCTTCTTAATACAGGTTTAGAAGCTACTCCGGAAAGATGCTTCGAATCTGTATCCACCGAATGTCAGTGGGTAGAAGAAAGCATCGAACTTACGTCCTACGCTGGTAAAGAGGTCGTCGTCTCATTCCTGACGGAATGCAACAGAGAAGGCAATAGTAACTACGCGTGGGCTTTGTGGGGTAAGCCGCAGTTACGCAAACTCAAACAGATGTCCCTCCGGAAAGGGAAAAGAGAACTCCGAACCGGAACTACGCTGTGGCATTGCTATCTTACACGCTAGCGATGACACGATGCAGCTACGTGAGTTTAGTCAATCCACGTCAACAACGGTTTCCGATTTAGTGAACATTTGTCTCGCGTTACACGAACCAGAAGAGCCTCCTGTCAAAATATCACTTTACGCGGCACAGCCGAAATTAGAAATTGTGAACGTGGGTGCGACAGCTGCAGTTGTCACTACAGGCGAAGATTTTGAAGTGCAATGCACACTTCGGAATACCGGTACCGCGCCACTCGGTAAAGCGGATACCGCGCAAATTTCTATCAACGGCATGAAACTACGGCGTGGACGTCCCAGACAAACCATTAAAGAAATTGAACCGGGTGAAGAAGTCTCTGTCTTTTGGATAGCCCGCCGTTTCCCAAATCCGACTGTACTTCCTATCTCTGTTTCGCTCAAATGTCAAACCTCAGCAGGCGAAGAACGCCAAACAGTCCAAGAAAGCGTTTCGGTTCTTCCTGAGCCACCTAAACTCACTGCCAAGGTGGTGAAAGAACTGCACACCTACACGGAAAATGGTAGCGTTGTGCTGGAGAATAAACATCTTCGCATTGTTTTCGTTCGTGGCCCCGAAGCAACATCAGAAATCAACAACGAAAACAACCCAGAAACTATCCTCCCTGACAAAAAGGTTGTTGAGGGAGGGTTTGAGTATTACATAATCTTTGCCGCAAAGGGTGGTAACTACCAGCAGGTAGCAACCTGTCCGGCACTCTCCGAGGTTGTCTATTTAGACGCATCACAAAACCGTCAAACGACGCAACTTGCGCCTACAGACTATCAGCTTGCCGGAAATAATCAAGGGGAGTCAATTGTCCGCCTAAGCGGTTCGGATACGGATGTAGATGGCGTTGCGTGGACTTATGAGATGCAGTGGACGCTCAGTGAAAGTGCGACGCGGGTGAAAACGGAATATCAGTTGCAAACGGATGGGAACAGAGAACTTCTTGCCTTCCGCGGTCCGATGCTTTATGCGGGACAAGGGCGTAATCGTGAGAAGAAAACGGCAGCACTTTTCCCCGGACTCGAATTCTTGGAAAACGATGAACGTTCCTCAAGCACACGTGACGCAGCCCCGCCGTTCGACAACCGTCTTGTCCCGCATCCCTATAAAATTACAGTGCCAGTCATGGCAGTAGAGATGCAGAAATCAATGGTCGGCATCATCTGGAATCCTCTGGATACTTGGGATGGTGAGAACCAGATGCTCTCTGCGGTATTCGCCTCGCCCAATTGGCATCAGTACCAGAAAAATCATGCCCTCGGTGTATTCGTCCCGACTGTACCAGCATGGGTCCCAGAAAATCAGACAGAAGCTTCTATCCCGTATCCACTAATACCGTCGCGTCCGGTGTCCATCAAAACTGAAATCATCGTGGATGGAAATGCCTCTATCTTAGATGCCATAGCGCATTGGAATGATGCTTACGGTGCCCCTGAACCGTTATTACCACCCCGTAGCGACGCAGAAGAAGTCTTACTTTCGCGGCACGGGTTTATGCAGACTACATGGGACGCAGACGCTCGAAAATCCCGTCACTGCGTAGACTGGGCACCTCACAATGAACCGGGTTTTGGCACCCTACTTTGGTACGATTATCTTGCCACAAAAGATGAGCATGTGAAGGAACGGGTGTTAGAAATTGCCAAAAACACCATAGCCGAATCCGGAGCAGGCGGTTTAGCTGCACGCGGCTCGTGTCACATTTTAAGATGGGAATTTCCATTCTATATCGGTAATATCAATGCTGGATTATCTTACATGGAGGAAGAAATGCAGCAACGCATTGCCACACAAGAATCAGATGGAAGTTGGCGATGGCACCCAACCGACGCGAAAACTGCTTCCCTCGGAAAGGCAGGTGAAGCGGTGCTCGGCACCTGTGCTGAATCAGCACTTCTACTTCTAAAACATGCTCGGATTACCGGAAACAAAACCTCGCGTGAAGCTGGTTTGAAAGCACTTAATTTCATTCAGCAATTCTCCGTGCCACGCGGTGCACAAATGTGGGAATGTCCAATGTATCAACCAGATGTTCTTGCGGCTGCTCATGCCATCGGTGCCTATGTTGAGGCTTACGAATTAACGGCGGAAAAAGAACATCTCAAACGCGCAACGTATTGGGCGACAACAGCGTTGCCATTCCTCTACCATTGGCATCTCCCAGACCGACCCGGTATGCAGTTCGCCTCAATCCCTGTTTTCGGGACGACCTTCTACACGCATCCGTGGTTCGGTGTCCCTGTTCAATGGAACGGATTAGTTCTCGCCTATTACTTACAACGCTTGAACCAGCACGTCGAAGACGACAGATGGCTTCAAATCGCTGAGGGTATTACGGTAAGTGCGATGTACCAACAGTGGGAAGATGGTGAACTCAAAGGCACCTATCCGGATGGATTTTATGGTTTCTGTACCGAAGGCAGGGGACCACACTTGAACCCCGAAGATATTATGGTGAACGTTTATACACTCCGAGCACTCGATCCGGGAATTAAAACCGCTATCGCCGGGGAGATACACCTGAGTTCCGGAGCAAGGGTAGATAGACTTACTTTAACCGATAACGGCCAACTGAACTGGCGACTCAGTTATGCCGATAACGAAACGAGTTACTCCGTTATTATGGGTTATGGACGCGCGCCACAGGCACTTCGGGCACGATACCAGTTCACATCACCTTCGGACGATACCCCAATTACCGATGCGGATACCCCCGCTGACGGCTCTGAATCCGTTAACATACCGGCCAAATATGCAGAGACCGAGATCGCGGGTGTGCAAACACTCGAAGATGTCGAAATCCGGATGGCTTTATATCGAAGATAAGGACGCTATATTGGTAAAGTACCTGCACGCCACCACGGATGTGCAGTTCGAGATCGTTTAACAATTGAGTTACCGCACCGGGATTCCCCTAAACCGGTCATGAAAAATAAGGAGACTGTTGAAATGGCTAAAAAAATTGTATTCACCACATTTATGCTGGTTACTTTGGCAATTGTTGCCTCTGTTCTGTTTTCACAGAATGCTATCGCCCAATCTGATGCGGCTGTCCCAGGAGATGCCCGATGGTAGACTTCAAAGTCTTGGGTGGTTTTATCATTGAAGGCGTTGTGTTCAGCGTTGTCGGTTTAATCATTCTGATGGTAGGTTACAAAGTCTTCGATTTAGCGACTCCGTACGATCTAAACCATCAGATTGCTGAAGAGAACAACACTGCTGCTGGCATTGCGGTTGCGGGTGTCCTCATCTCACTCGGCATCATCGTCGCTGCAGCAATGGGTTAGTAGAAACCATATTTATAGGTGTACCACGCACGCCTTATAAAAGGCGCGGTTTCTAAACCGCGCCTGTAACTCGTGAAGCTACTTCTATCTGCATCCACGGGCATAAAAAACGACGGAGGGTGGAAAAAATGGCACAAACAACCTACTTGGCAGATCAGGTTGTCAGCGAAACACAAATTCAGGAATGGGTAGAGACATTTCACCAGCGAGGCTGCCTGTTTTTGCAAAACGTCTTGCCTCCTGATTTATGTGCGCAACTTCGACAAGATTTAGAGTGGGCACTCGAAAACGATCCGAATAGCTTAAATGGTGGAAGCCCCGCGGGTCGTATGCACTTAAGCCATCGGATGTTTGAACACAGCGAAGCGAATCGGCGATTGTTCGACCTTGAACCTATTGTCTCCTTCGCTGAAGCACTCGTCGCGGAAAACTGTCACGTCATTCACAACAATTCGTTCCAGACGTTTCCAGAAGGTGGAATTACGTCGTGGCACCAAGACGATGCCCTTCACTACATCGTAACAGATGGCGAACCGCCAAAGAACATCCGGTTGCCGGTGCTGCTCTTTACGGCAAATTACTACCTCACCGATGTCACTGAAATTGAACACGGTGGCACAGAGGTTGTCCCAGGTTCACATCTTTTCGGTGCATCGCCTCCAAATCCGATAGAAGGAACGGAGTGGGAGGAAAAAATCCAGTACAACCTCGGAAAAGCGGGAAGCGTTATCATGTTCAACAATCAGGTCTGGCATCGCGGGGGTCCCAATCAGACCCAGCGCATCCGATATATCACACAGGTGACGTACGGGCGCCGCCTCATTGGACACAAATATTATCCGTTTATGAACTATAATATGCCGGACTCTGTTTACAAAGATGCGAGTCCGCGTCTGCGCCGCCTACTCGGCTTCCTCAACCACGGTGCCTACGGGTAAATTCCCGCGCTATACCGACAAACATAGCATGCCTGCGCAATTTTATGAAAGCAATTGTTTTCTCAGAACAAGGCAGCACGGAGGTACTTCAGTACACAGACGTACCCAAACCGACGCTTGATACCAATGAGGCGCTGATTAAAGTCGAAGCCTGTGCGGTGAACTACCTGGATATTCATGCCCGACGGAACCGCCCCGAGATAGAAGCGAAACTCCGTCGGGGGGATACGCCACATATACTCGGCTCCGACATCGCTGGGACAATCGCCGAAATTGGTGCTGCAGTCCGCGGTGTTGCGGTCGGGGATCGAGTTGTTCTCGCCCCTTGCATTCCGTGTGGTATCTGTAGTGATTGCCATCGCGGTACCGAAAATTTGTGTGACACGCAAGAACTCATCGGTTTCCAAACAAATGGCGGATACGCAGAATACGTAAAAGCTCCTGCCCAAAACGCTATTCAGATGTCAGCGGCACTGTCATTCGTTAACGCCGCGGCGATGCCGATAGCGTATCTCACAGCATGGCATATGCTAATGACGCGTGCACAACTTCGCCCTGAGGACGATGTCTTAATTCTCGGTGTAGGGGGTGGTGTCGGAAGCGCAGGACTACAAATCGCAAAATTAACGGGTGCCAGAGTTTTTGCGACAGCGAGCAGCGATGAGAAACTTGAACGTGCACGACAGATGGGTGCTGATGTTATGATTAACTACAAAGACAGAGATTTTTCGGAGGTCGTGCTTGATGTAACCAAAGGACGAGGCGTGGATGTTGTCCTTGAGCATGTCGGTGCTGCGACATGGGATCAGAGCATCGCGAGTCTTGCTAAAAATGGGAGGCTCGTTTCGTGTGGCGTGACAACAGGCAACATTGGAACAATTAACATCCGAAAGATGTACCAAAAGCAGCTAACAGTGATGGGCTCCGCCCTCGGCACAGTCGCTGAACTCCGAACGCTTGTCCATCTCGCTGGACGAGGAAAACTGGAACCTATTATTGACAGGGTTTTACCGCTCCATCGTGCGGGTGAGGCACACTTGCTATTAGAGAACCGCCAAAATTTCGGGAAAATCTGCCTCTGTCCAAATATTTAATCGGTGTTTTTGCTTGGGTGTTTCCCCCAGATTTCTTCACCATACGTTTTGTCGGTACAGAACTGAATTTTCACAGACCGGAGCAGATGTCGTTCAACACGAAATCGGCTACTACGTATTCGAGGTATTCGAGGATTTTTCCGATTTCATCTTGAGAAATTCATAGAACTCGTAGAGCGTTTCTTTGTCTTTTTCCGTAAATTCCATCATTCCCTTGAACATAGCACTAATCTTTGGGTCGGCTAAAAGGTCATCGTAACTTTTGTCGGCTTTTCCAAGTAGGTAATCGGTAGTGACTTTTAAAGCATCGGAAAGACTTGAAAGTGTTTTAAACGAGGGTTTTCGGGCTCCTGATTCAAATTGCGAGATCGCAGCAGGTGTTAGATTTGCCACCTTTGCAAGTTCTGTTTGTGTCAACTTCAGTTCACGACGACGTAGTTTTATACGTGAGACGACTTTATCTGTATTTGAGTCTTTTGATTCTTTGCCCACATTTGGCTCCTTATATCAGACAGCGAAATTAGTGTTGGGCTGCCGCTGATTTTTTTGAATTTTTAGTATTGCTGCAGTATTACAGTGAAATGTAGCTTGAAGAGAATTCTGCTTCAATGAGAGGCAAAACGTGAAATATATTTTAACCTAAAAAAGCGTTAAATGCAAATTTTAATTTGACAAAAATTGCAATAATAATATACAATATACATATTGACTCCTAAAATTACGCCAGTAGGCTCCGAAAACGGGAATCTATAGCGAAAAGCAACTACTTCATGCCCGTATGTCACTGACCGGTATTTATAAAGAGGCGGCATAAACGCGACCACCGAATCTAAAGAACAGCGGAGCCAACACGAAAAAGATAGAAAAAGATATATGAACCGCATTCTACCTTGTAAGAATGAGCGGAAACTGGGGATGCATTCTCTTCGCGCGTCGTTTTCTTGCGTATCCTCTCAGGAATACCCAAATGCGCCCCGGAAAGAAAATCTGAAAAACCAGAAAAAGGCGGGAGACTTCACAACATGAAAATTCATAATAGGCACGAGTGCCGTTTGCGACGCTTCAGTGCGCCCATAAATGTATTAATGTTTTTCCTTTCCGTTTTGCTTGTCACTGGGCAACTCTCCGATACTGCCTACGCACAAACAGTTTCCAGTACTGGCATGAAATCTGCAGCCATTCAGATTCGGGATGACCTCTCTATTGGCAACATTCGAAAGGACCTTGCACGCCTCTCAAGCCTTGACAGTCGCGTAACGGGCTATCCCCAAGCTGCAAGTGGCAGCAAATACATTTTTGACCGTTTGGTCGAAATCGGCTTGCAAAACGTGGAAAGCCGCGAGTTTTCCGTCACTGTGCCGATCGACCACGGTGATAGTGTCATTGAAGTACTCTCCCCGGAAGCCAACCTACTACACGCCTTTAAACTCACCCCACTCTGGCCCAATCTTGTGCGGACCTCCCTGTTAGCAGACGGCATTAAACACATTGTGTTAGCAGGAGAAACACTCAAAGACATCGCAGAGAGTTACCAAGTTGACGAAACGACTATCCTTGCAGACGATCGGAACAAATTTCTGGCGATCCCAGTTGTAGAAGGAAGCACCGTGTTTATTCCCACAGGAGGTTTGACTGGTCCCCTCCTTTACGGCGATGATGGCGAACTCGCCGATTTCAACGGTACTAACATTGGCGGATTTTGGCACAAGCTCCAAGACGGAGATACGCTCACAACGCTCGCCCGACGCTATCGTATCACCGAAGCCAGCATCACCGATGATATACTTAATGAACACCTGCAAAAAGCGTCCGATGGCATCGACAATGATGAGGATAGCACTATTGATGAATATGGCGAAATCCCCCTGCTCTCCGAAATCCTTGGGTGGGCAACAGATGGCATTGATAACGATGCCGACGGCTGGACAGACGAAATTCCAGGGAACGATACAGATGGGATTGATAACAACAACGATGGACTGGTCGATGAATCCGGCGAGTTTGTCGCCGCGAGCGAATCACATATCTTTATCCCGAAAGGGGCGATAACCCTTCTCGATTTTAACTCCAGTACCCGTTATATCAATGCGGCAATGCTCGGTGGTACTGCTGTTATCTTTATCCAACCCGAAACAACCATCCGAGGAGAAGCAGAAAATAAGTTCGGTACCGTCCCTGCTAATATACCGCGATTTTGGATCTCCAAAGAAGATGCTGCTGTTCTAACCAATTTGTTGGAAGAACAACACGCTCAGGGTAATCAAGTGAATGTTCGTGTTAGAGGTAAGATGACTTGGGAACGCCGCGTAGGGCAAAATATACGTGGGTTTTTGGAAGGCGGAGACCCAACCTTGCGCGATGAACTTATCGTTCTCACAGCTTATTACGACGCCATGTCCGTTGTTCCTGCAATGGCACCGGGTGCTGATCCAACTTGCGGTATCGCGACCCTTATGGAACTTGCGCGCCTTTTTAGTCAGCCCCAATATCGACCTGGCTATTCTGTCCTCTTTGTTGCAGTCGATGGACACTTCCAAGGACTTGCTGGCATGCGTGCCTTCATGGAAGGCATTGGACAAGATATTGTCGGTTCTGCCACCGATTCACCCGGTACACCAACGATGCACGGGCTTCGCCGTGGACTCTCTACAGATGTCATGGAATTTGAAGAATTGGGTAGAAGGCTTCTGCTCTCCATTGACCGGAGCGTTCTCGTCGATCTCCCAGCCGATTTCTTCCACGGTATACACAACGTAAAGTCTAACTTGGACTCCCTCACAACCACACTGGATGGCTTGGCAAAAACACGGTCTGAGATTGAATCCCTTACGGAGCAACAACGGGACTTTTCAGAACGCCAGAAGAAACAGACAGATAGAAATCGAAAACGCGAAAAGCAAGGCTTCACAGGTGAAGAGAAGAGTCGTTTGTTAGCAAATCTTGCCCGCTCGAAGAAAGAAGCTCTGCAAACGACACATTTCCTCCGAGATATTGTCAGTAGGTTAGCTGAGACTCGTACTGTTGCACTCAACACGAGCCGATCCGCGCAGCGCGAATTAATAGAAACGCTTGGGCTACCGACTGCCCGTCTTGACACATGGGCGGTAAAGAAACTTATTCACGCTATAGAGATCGGCAGTGCCGATGAATATGGCACGCACCCAAATGATGGCTACCTGGTTCCGGTGCAACAGGGTTCAGACTGGCAAATCCCAACACCGGCAGACCTTCCACAAGAACTCGTTCCTGATATCGAGATACTTAACAAAACCCTTGCCGACTGGGAGCTGAGCGACAAACGCAAATTTGCGCTGATGTGGACTCCTGAGAAAATACTCGATCGGCACCTCGATCTACACTCACTCAATAAAGCGAAAGAAGCACGCAGTGTTTTACGCAATGCCAACGACTCCCAAGAAGTTGCGATTCAGCAAGAGATCCAGCTACTTGAAAAGGTTCTGGTACAAATACCTGACAGCCAACCCATTGAAGATGAGATTAAAGGCAGCATTCGGCAACTCAAGGAAGCACCGATGGGGACACCGAGCGGTGATTCTCTGATTTATGGTGGTAAGTTTTTGTCGAAAGCCGGGATTGAAAGCCTCAATACTATCAACACCCAACTTCGACAGCGATTAACGGAATCTGAAGACACTGTTGATGCTACTATATTGATAGCAGATCTTCTCAAAGACAAACAAGGTATCTTTGAAATTGCACTTCGGAACGCTCGATTGGAACGAAGGCGTATCCAGAACTTGATCACAACAGCCGGAACGTTAGGACGGGAATACTTGGATGAAGAACGCCTCATTTTGGAAAATTACCTATCGGATGATGAAGTCGAACAGGCACTTTCGTTACGGTCCCGCATCTCATCATACATTATCGAAAAAGAACTGTTCGGGATCGTCAAAAAGCGTGCGGACACAGATATCGTAGTACTCGAAAACCTCGCTGAACGGTTACCCGCATTAGATACCGATTTGGATGAAGAGACTAAAGTACTCCTACGCGATAACATGTTGACCCTCCGCAACGCACGTTTTCGTAACATCCAGAGCCGTATTGAAAAGATGTTGCGCATTAACACCGATGAATACAACCGAAAACTCAGACAGATCGAGGCAGCTATCGCACTTCAAGACCTGTTCAACCGGTATTATACCTCCCTCTATATTAGTATTGACCTCTCCTCACAATCGAATCAGTTCGGGGTGTTCAACAAGGGATGGTTCTACGATCAGCAACCCGAATTTGTATTACGCCGCGAGTTTGCAAGCATCGGCAATAAGCTTGCCTCTTACGCTGAAGATGCTGATTTCGGTGTCCGCGTCCGTAAACTTTGGCAGTGGACAGATGACCAAATTCGGCAAGCCGTTATGGCACGTCAATGGACGGTTGCAAATGGGATCTCTGATAAATCTGCCCTTGAAGGAAAGACGCTTGAAACGCTACTGAGTTCGCACTTCAACAAACTCACCGGTCTCAGTGGGGTGAGCCGACTGATGAAAATGCAGTTTGAACAGTGGCGCAATCAAGGTGAACCCTCCGAGGATATGCTCAAAGATATGGATTACATCCGCAAAGAGGTCGAGCGCTTCATCCGAAACGATGTCCGCACCGCAAAGAAAAATCGAAAGAATAATATTCGTACACGTGAGCAGCTGGACGCAATGCTCCAACTTCGACCTGAAGATCCGGACACCTTCTCCGATGAAGAAATTGAGGATATCAAAACTCTTATTTCAATCGCAGGCCTCGGTGGAGAGTCAAACTTCGTTAACGCCATTTCCGCAAGCGGCGGAAAGACCTGGAAAACCTATATCCCCGGTAAAATCGCTTTTGACAGTGAGGTTGTAACGCTTGTCGGAAAAACTGGAATTGCTTTTGCAACTATCGAGGACGCACGCGTCTTAACGGACACACCACTTGATACAATTGAACGTGTTGACTTACGAGAAGGAGGCAATCTCCATCAGCAAGCACAGACATTGGCATCGTTACTTATCCAAGCACTCCGGGACGAAGAAATGCCCACCGCCGCACGTGTGGGGAATTTCTACTGCAATCTCTTTGGGGATGTCGTTGAATTTGACGCACGGGAATCCGCACTACCGAACAAACCGGTGCCTTATCCTATCTTGACGCTCCGTAGGAAACATAAAACTATGATGGGTGTTCGCGGAGACCTGTTTGTGATGGGTGATAACAAAGGCAACTTTGAGGTGGCTGGGTTAGCTATGGAAGGCAGAGCCACACGCCGTCTCGGTGGTGCCCAGGAAGTGGAAGCATACATCCTTGACAAGGATTCAGGGGACATCGTCTATGCCCCAGATTTAGGGAATTACGGTGCGAAACTACTGCCCAATAAAGTTCCTATTAATACCCGCAGGCGTGGTTGTCGTGTTGTTACATTCCCTTGTGTGTCTACAACCATCTATGACTTGGTGGACCAGCGGTATCTACGGACCTTGCGGGAACTCGAAGTCTACGACGCACTCACCGATAGCCCGCCGGAGAAGTACGGGATGTCCAAACCGTGGCAGCAGGAAGGCGTCTCTGCAGCCGAACCGATAGCTCTTGTCTATAGCAAACCGAATACTCGCATCAAAATCGGAATGGCTTACGGACAGATCGGCAAACGTCTCCTACTCATCAAAGCAACTAAGAGCGGTATGAAGAACCCTACGCTCTATACCGGCGAAGGGTTTGTTGTCCGCGAAAACGGGCAGATTCGCCTCACGCCGTACGTCGTTGTCCGGGATATGTGGTGGCTTGATGAGAACCGCTCACGACTTTATAAACGGTTTGGTATCTCCAGTGACCGACTTGACAAACTCCATCAATTTGCGCATGATTATCTTGCACGCGCGGAGACTGAATTACTCCAAAGCGACTATCAACAAGCCCTCAAACTCGCCCGTGCCGCGTGGGGCTACGAATCACGTGCATACCCGGATGTCAAACAGACGGGTAATGATGTCGTTAACGGTGTAATGTTCTATCTCGCCTTGCTGATGCCGTTCGCGTACTTTATGGAACGGCTCATTTTCGGCTTCCCGAGTATCCACAAGCAGATTTTGGGCTCATTCGGCATCTTTTTACTTGTATTCTTCTTCCTAAGCCAAGTTCACCCCGCATTCCAGATTACTACCACACCTGTGATTATCCTGATCGCGTTCGTAGTGCTTGCCTTGACGGTCCTTGTCATCAGCATCATTGTCCGAAAATTTGAGGAGCAACTCGAAAAGATCCGGCAAGAAGGAAGTAAAGTTTATAAAGCCGATGTCGGCAGGTTGAGTGCGAGTGCAGCGGCGTTCAGCTTGGGTATTTCCAACATGCGGAAACGGAAAGGTCGTACTGTCCTGACATGTTGCACGTTGGTAATCCTGACCTTTACTGTTATCTCGTTTACTTCTGTGCGGACGTTTATGCATCCGAATAGAACGAGTCTTCCGCAAGTGACACCGCGCTACACCGGACTCCTTATTCGCGACCAGTACTGGCGCCCGCTTGAGGAACCGGTGCTTACCTCCGTGCTAAACGACCTGCAAAAGACGCAGATCACATTCACCGCTTTAGAACGACTTTTGCAACGTAAGAACGAACTCTTAGTCAAGCAAGGGCAACAACCGATTGATATCGCAGACGCACGCAGCGCTTTAGAAGAGGACGGCTTCATTGAGCATGTAGACGAAGAATCCGTTTTGATCGTTCGGAATGTCGTTGCACCGCGCGCATGGTATCAATCCTCAGGGACTGGCGATCAATCGTTTGTCCAACTCACACGTACGCCAAACGTAGCAGATTCATCGCCTCCGACGCACCAACTCACGGGTGAAGCGTTGACTTTCGCCGCAAGCATGCTCGTGGGCATGAACGAATCCGAACCCAGTGTTAGTGGTATCAACCGATACCTCCAATACGGAAAATGGTTCGACCCTGTAGATGCCGACGAATGGCCAACAGCGTGGCCCTACGCCATTGTGCTGCCTAAAGGGATGGCAGAGTTGCTAAAGATCACTGAAAGCGATATGGGTAAAGCCACCGTCTCTGTTTACGGCGCAGACTTTACTGTTGTCGGTGTCCTCGGTATCGGCTTCAAGGACCTCACTGATAACGATGGTGAAGAACTTACACCTGTCGATTATCAGTTAATGCAACAGCAGCGGAGCCGCGGTGCCACTGGTGATGAGACGCTTGAAGGTGAATTACAGAAGTACCTCCATCTCACGCCAGACAGTGTCGCCATCCTGCCATACCAGGTAGTTATGAATCAAGGGGGCACACTCCGAAGCGTTGCTGTTAACATGGAACCGCGAGAAGATGATCCGAAGTTGTTAGATGCAACAGATAAGTTAGACCTTATCATGGCACCGCTCATGAACCGCATTGCCCTTGACTTCTTTGTGGGACGTGATAAAGACACATACCTCTACAGCAGTATCGGAATGACGAGTTTCAGCGGTATGGGTAACTTGTTTGTGCCGATCCTGATTGCGGCTCTCATCGTCCTTAATACCATGCTTGGAGCCGTCTATGAGCGTGTCCGTGAAATCAGCATTTACAGTTCCGTCGGACTCGCGCCTGTGCATATCGCCTTCCTCTTCCTTGCCGAGGCATGTGTATACGCCATCGTTGGAGCGGTATTAGGCTATCTCATGGGACAAGCGATAGCAACAACCCTCGTGCATTTCGGCTGGCTTGCTGGGCTGACGCTCAACTACTCATCAATGTCCACTGTTGTTGCGACGATCATCGTTATGGTTGTAGTGCTGTTGAGCACCCTGTATCCAGCGATCAAAGCTTCACGGATGGCAGTGCCCGATATCGAACGGAAATGGAAACTTCCAGAACCCGAAGGTGACGTATGGCACTTCAACCTGCCCTTTACCGTCCTTGAAGAAGAGGTACTCGGGTTGAACGTCTTTATGCGGGATTATTTTGACGCACATGCAGACGAATCCGCCAGTGATTTCTACACAGACCAGGTTGCGTTCAGCCAAGCGGAAACCGAAGATTCCTATCAAATTGGGATGATGGTATGGCTGGCACCTTATGACTTAGGTGTGAGCCAGTCTATTCAGTTCGTTACATCCCAAGTGGGTAGTGAAGAGGAAGACCTCTACAAAATCACGTTGGATGTGCACCGCGAGAGCGGTGAGATTGCCTCTTGGAAGCGGGTCAACCGACGGTTCCTCAACCTGCTGCGGAAACAACTTCTGATTTGGCGGACATTCAGTGTCGATATCCGAGCCGAGTTCCATGAACGCGGCAGAACTGAAGGCACAGGTGGATCGGCAGAAGGAACAGCACAGATGGATCCAGTACCGACACCCGCGGATTAAGGTTTTTAAACTATTGAATTACGTTTCACGGTGGTTTTTGGTTAATGCCGACCGCCTCTGGATTATGAACGGTAGCGGATATAGGCGGGTAGGCACAAGACCTGCTCCTACAGAATCGTACATCTTCTCAGTTACGTTGGAATTCACCAGACACTATCGGGGAACGTAGTGAAACGATGCTCAAAGGCACATAATTAAAACAAGGACAGAAAACGTGGAAAAAGCAGCAAGTCTTATTATCATCATTGGCACCTTCTTATGGCTGTTCAGTGTTCTCGCCCTCGAAGGACGTTGGCAATGGCAGATCTTCTCAGCCCTTGTGCTGATAGTTGGTATTTTCTTGGCGCATTTCTGGGAAGAACTACGAGACACCGACAACACCGAAGAATCAAACGAAGAGTGACGGACGAGCAGAACACCTGTAGGGTTGGAAGGTCTTTAGGAGTGCCACACGTGCAGTCCTCATAGACTGATACAGAACGAGACCAGAAAATGCCGACCAACCTTTGTCAAAAGAAAGGAGAACATTCAACTTGGCGAGAGAAAGAGTATCACAAGCAGATGAATGGCAAGCTTGGGCACAGCGATACGACATCGAAGGGGGTATTCGTACCTTTGAGTCGGGGCTAACAGTTAAGGTGTTTGTTGGAGCACTTTTCGTTGGCTTGCTGATGATGCCAGGGTCCATTTATCTTAGTTATGTATCGGGTGAATCCGGCGCTGGTGCAGCACCTTGGGTTGCCGTTATTCTATTCACTGAACTCGCGCGGCGTTCCTTTACAACTGCCCGGCGACAGGAGCTTTACATGCTCCTCGGGTTAACAGGTGCCGCTGTTGGAAGTGGGCTCCAGTACCGGAACTTTATCTGGTACGCCTACTTTATCAACACGCCACAGGCAGCTTCATATGAAATCGCGGACAAAATCCCAGATTGGATTGTGCCAGCAGGTGATTCTGTCGGCGTGCTCACGCGAAGTCTGCTGCATCCAGACTGGTTTCTGCCCATCGGTATCTATCTTATAGGAAAACTGCTCGGCACGTTGCGGTTTGTGAGTGGACAGTATATTCTGTTTCGACTCACAGCGGACCTCGAGCGGCTCCCATACCCCATGGCACCGATTAGTGCGCAAGGTGCAACTGCCCTCGCGGAAACGACAGGCAAAGAAGAGACCTGGCGGTGGCGCGTCTTCTCTATTGGCTCTATGGCAGGGTTAATCTGGGGATTCCTCTATATCGGTGTGCCTTCGCTCACTGGTGTCATGATGAGCCAGCCGATTCAGATTCTGAAGATCCCGTGGATAGATTTCACACAGAGTATAGAAGGTTTCGCACCAACAGGCGTTTTTGCCCTTCGAACCGATTTTGGACAAATGCTCATTGGGTTCGTGATGCCGTTCCCGGTTATCATGACAGAGTTTCTTACGGCGATGATATCTCAATTTATCGTGAACCCACAAATTCTGTACCGCTACGAGATTCTCCACCAGTGGTCCCCCGGTTTAGATGTTCGTGGTGTCGGCTTGTTTAATGGATTGGATTTCTGGATTAGTTACGGCATGGGTAAGAATTTTAGTCTTGCGATCGTCGGAATGGCAGCTTCAATTCCGATGCTTTTCAAACTACGGAAGACCCAAAAAGCTGCTGGCGAACGGGGATCGTTCGCGACACCGCCGAACCGTGGCGATTTCCCGATATGGTTGATGGGATTAATGTGGCTCGCCGGTATGGGCGGATTTATTTGGCTCATCCACTGGATGGTTCCGAATTTCCCGTTGAGTTTCTTGCTTGGCTACGCATTCCTATATACACCGATTAATTCGTATGTTACCGCACGGACCTTCGGTGTCTTGGGACGCGACCTATTTGAAATACCGTATCTACACGAAATTACCTTTATTTTGAGTCGCTACGAAGAGGTAGATATCTGGTTTGCACCACTCCCAGACGAAGATTATGGACGCGGCACCCAAAGTTGGCGAGTACTTGAATTGACAGGTACTACCTTCACTTCAAATCTCGCGGGTACACTGCTGATTATGCCGATTCTACTTGTCAGTGGAATTGTGGTGCTTCACTTTATCTGGCAGATTGCACCTATTCCCAGTGCACAGTATCCGTTTGCCCAGATGATGTGGCCCATTAACGCCACAAATGAATGTCTCTGGAAAACATCGCTGCGGGATGGAAACAGCCAGATGCTTCAAGCGATTCGCGGTGACTATGTCGCCGCTGGACTCACCTCAAGCATCGCAATCTATGGGATGTTGTGGGTATTTAAACTGCCCACAATGTGGTTCTACGGAATTATCGGTGGTATCGGCGCGGATCCGGGAGGCATGGTTGCACGGCTACTCGGTGCGGTCATTGGACGGTTCTACATGATTAAGCGGTTCGGGTTGCGGCGCTGGTATATGTTTAATCCGGTGCTTGCGGCAGGATTTGCGTGCGGTGTCGGTCTTATCGGTATGGGAACTGTAGCAATCGCCCTTGTGTCTAAAGCTGTCATCGTTAAACCGTTTTAACAGTCGTCAGAGGAATAGTTATCAGTTGTCAGTACGCTCACTGCGTTCGCTTTCAGCAGTCAGTTAAGAGGTTTTCGTTTAACAAAGTTGCCCCTTGTAACTGATAACTAAAACTGACAACTATAAACTGACAACTGATAATTGACAACTGATAACTATAAAAAATGGAATGGACTGTTTTTGGCTGGGCAGGCATACAACTTGAAATACCCACGGCATGGGAACTTAGCGGGCTCAGCGGAGATCAGAAAACAGGATATCTCCGGCTTGACGATGGGGAGATGCCTCGCCTTGAACTCAAATGGGCGCATACTCGACGTAAAAAGCCAGACCTCCATGCCACGCTCGACGAATACTTCAAGTTGATTCGCAAGACTTATAAGAAAGGCACCGAACTCTCTTTCCGTCGGAACGTTAACTTCATTAAAGAAGAGGAATTCTTTAAGGGACGCACCGTTCTCGGTTTTAGTTGGAAAGGGAATATTCGTGCTAATGGACTGATCTTCCACGCTGGGAAACGGATCACGATCGTGCAGGTGATGGGACGGCTCAAGGAGAATTTGCGACCCACGGTCCTTCGGGTTTTCGAATCAATTACAGACCGTGTTGATGCACCACTGACGCTGTGGAGTGCTTATGGGCTTAAGTTAGGGGTTCCGAAAGAATACAAATTGGAACGTCAGAAACTGCTCAGTGGCTACCTGTTATTTGCCTTCACTGCAAAACCTGTCCGCCTTCAAAGTGCGGTAAAGCTTGCTAAATTGGCAAGCAGTCGCCTACGGAGTAATGGTTCTGTAGAAGATTTAGATACCACTCCGCCGGACAAAGGACGGCTTAGCGTGGAACGGTACGGACCCGCAGAGGTGATGCTGAATGACTATAAAGACGCACCGAATCCATTAGAGGCATGGTTTCGCGCCAAATACGCAAAAGCGATTCGTGGCTATGGATTTGAAGTAACGTCGGATACAGACTCGGTGGATGAACGTCTGACACTTATTGGAGAGCAGACGCGGCTCTATGATGGTGTGCCATTCAGCCCCGTGCTGATACTCGATAAATTATCCAAGAGGACAGCACTTGTATTTCATCTATGGCGATGCAATCATTCCAACCGTATCTATGTTATCCAGTCCATCGGCAGTACCGACGCGCGTTCGACCATCCAAAAGGTCACTGAAAGTATTGAATGCCATTGATGACTATCGGCTATCGGCTGTCAGCTGTCAGTTAAGAGCCGTATTTGTAATAATTCACCTGTTGTTGGAGTCCTCCAACTGACTTCGGTGATTCCAGGGTAGATTGCTACCATCCAACTAGAAAACTGATAACTCTCACTGCGAGGCAAACCGAAAACTATCTAAAAGAAATGCTAAACAGAATTCTATATGCTCTCAAACTCAAGAAGCGTCCAGATATGGACCGGACTCGGGTGATGACGTCTTTTCCCGTGCGGAATCAGCTGATAATCTGGGAGATAGACGACAAAGACGAAGCCTCACTCGTTGTTCCACAGAAAGACCAACTCTGGACCCGACTCGCCAGTAAGCTCTTTATGCTTCCGAATAAAAGGGTTATTGTATTAGATTCCATGGGAACTTATGTGTGGCAGATGTGCGACGGTAAGCATACCATTTCGCAGATTATAAAGGGGATCCAAAAACAGTACCAGTTGACTCGGAAAGAAGCGGAAACGTCCCTCTTTACGTTTATGCAGCAGCTTGGCAAACGGAATTTCATAGGGTTCGCCATTCCTAACCCTCAACAGAATGTCCCCGTAACGTCCGAACCCGAACCTGAACCTGAAAAATCGGGATTCTTTGGGTTTTTTCAGAAACGGTAAGCCGTACCCTGATCGGAAACTCAGATAAAAATAGGAGAAAAAAATGAACACCCCAACAGAAATCGGCGATGTAAGTGCAATTCTCGCCGAAACACCAGAAAAGCTCCAGCGCGTCCTTCCGAAGGAAAACACAGTCCGCGTCCGGAACCTCATCAAGCGATATGAGATGGGAACGCAGACTGTGGACGCCCTCCGCGGTGTCAACTTCCAAATCCAGCGTGGCGAGTACATTTCTATTATGGGTCCCTCCGGTTCAGGGAAGTCAACACTTTTCAACATGATTGGCGGCTTAGACAAACCGACCGAGGGTAGAGTTTACGTTGACGAGGTGGACATCGCACAACTTGACGCGTACGAACTCGCATGGCTCCGCTGTCGAAAGATCGGCTATATCTTTCAATCGTTCAACCTCATTCCCGTTATGACTGCACTCGAAAATGTCTCACTCCCGATGATTTTCGCCGGTATGAGTGCAGACGAAAGCAGAGAGAAAGGCGTTGACCTCCTTACACTCGTCGGATTGGGTGACCGCGTGCAACACAAGCCGTTAGAACTCTCCGGTGGACAGCAACAGCGCGTCGCAATTGCACGTTCGCTTGCGAACGACCCGGCAATTGTTCTTGCTGATGAACCGACGGGAAACTTGGACACTAAAACCGGACTCGAAATCATCGCCCTACTCCGTCGACTCAATGCTGAAAACGGCGTAACCATCATCACTGCAACGCATGATTACAAGATGTTAGATGTCTCCGACCGCATCTTCCACATGGCGGATGGTAAGGTGGAAAAGATTGAAGCGCGCGATGAGATTAACCTCCAGGTCGGTAAATTAGACGGTGAAGAAGTCGGGTAAATAGTTATCAGTTATCAGCCCTCAGTTAAGAGATCGCTTGTGGCGGGCACAATATTTGCAACTGCCACACGAATGACCGACAACTACTAAAAAAATGAGTATTTACAAACGCTTAGGCATCCGTACAGTCATTAACGGTAACGCAACGCTCACACGGCTCGGTGGCTCGATTATGCCACCTGAGGTTGTCGAGGCGATGGCAGATGCCGCCAAGCACTTTGTAGACATTGTCGAACTCCAAAAACGGGTCGGGGAAGAGATTGCGAAACTCACCCACAACGAAGCGGCGTATGTCTCCTGTGGTGCCGCTGCTGCCTTGACCCTTAGCACCGCCGCGTGTATCACTGGGCTTGATGCTGACAAGCGTGAAAAATTGCCTCATCTTGATGCATCAATGAAAAGTGAAGTCATTGTGCATCGTCACGGTCGCGTCGGATACGATTTCGCCGTTCGGCAGGTCGGCGTCACCATGGTAGAGATAGGCGACGGCTGTGACATAAAGGGCACAACTCCTGACGAGTTAGAGAACGCTATTAGCGAGAAAACCGCCGCAATCTTCTACTTCGCGAACCCCGGTAGAGAACACCTCTGGGTGTCTTATGAAGAAGCCATCGCGATTGCCAAAAGGCACAATGTCCCTCTCATTGTTGATGCTGCCGCACAGTTACCACCCCCAGAAAATCTATGGCGTTTCACACAGATGGGTGTTGATTTGGCACTCTTTAGTGGGGGAAAAGGCTTGTGCGGACCGCAAAGCAGTGGGTTAATCGTCGGAAAAAAATCGTTGATTGAAGCTATCGCCTTCAACGGACCACCGCACCCTTTTATCGGTAGGGGAATGAAGGTAGGGAAAGAAGAGCTGGTAGGTCTACTTGCCGCTGTCGAATTGTACTTGGATCAGGACCACGACAAATTACAGCAATCTTACGAGGATCAGGTTACCTACTACGACGAAGTGTTCGCGGACATCCAAGGCGTTACAGTTCATCGTATCTTCCCCTCCGAAGCCGGACAACCGATGCCGCGCACCGAAATCCGATTTGATGAGGAACAACTCGGCATCACACGGAACGAAATCCTTCAGCAACTCGCAGAAGGTGAACCTTCTATTGACATTCCAGGAGCAGGGGAAAATGGTGTCATCATCAATGGACAAACGCTAATGCCGGGAGAAGTAGAAATCATCGCCCAAAGACTAAAGGCAATTCTTTTTGGGAACCCACCTTAAGAGCAATGTATTCTTTGCAAACAAAAACCTAAGCCTGCAACAACGGCGCAGGCGACTCTGAAGAAAGGCACGTCATAAACATAACCCCCGTTATTTAACCGCAAGGAATAATTAAAAAAATGAAACTTAATAACGGTATCCGCCTGACATGGCTCGGACACTCCACCTTCAAAATCGAAGCAGACAGACAAACACTCCTCATAGACCCATGGGTAACCAACAACCCAGTGTGTCCTGATGCGCTCAAAACCTTTGATACGCTCGACGTGATACTCATAACGCACGGGCACGCCGACCACATTAGCGACGCGGTGCCACTGGCGAAAGAACACACCCCGACAGTTGTGTCTATCGTTGAAATCGCAGGGTGGCTTGGTAAACAAGGTGTCGAGAACACGATTGGTATGAATAAGGGTGGCACTGTCACCGTCGGCGACGTGAAAGCAACGATGGTCTCAGCAAACCATAGTAGCAGCTTCACAGAGGAAAACGGCACAACGGTTTATCTGGGTGAACCCGCAGGCTACGTGATTGAATTCGGGAACGGCTACAAAATTTACCACGCCGGGGATACGAACGTATTCGGGGATATGCGGATTATCGGTGAGATTTACCAGCCTGACCTCGCGTTGCTTCCCATCGGCGACCATTTCACGATGGGACCGCGTGAAGCCGCCTACGCCGCACAATTACTCAATGTCCCAGCGATTCTGCCTATCCATTATGGCACTTTCCCACTATTGACAGGAACGCCCGAAGAACTCCGTAAGTTGACGGCATCTCAGAATGTAGAAGTTATTTCGTTAGAGGTTGGGGAAACGTTAGATTAAGACATTCCGATAGGGACCGTCGAGACCAAAAGCATTCACAGTCTTCAGCAGGTCCTGTGGGTTTCCCGTATCGTAACGCTTACCTGCGACGCGATAACCGTACATACCTTCCTGTTTTATCATTTCCGTCATTGCATCCCGCAGTTGAATCTCTCCATGCGTCACAATTCGGTGTCTGTAGTTGTAGTCCAGAATATCAAAGAGGAGGGGGGTTAAGGAGATCGATGCCGAAGTTGCAGAGATACTGCTGATCAGGTATCCCCTCAACGCGGAGGTGTTCCTGCGCGAATTCAACCGTCGGCTTTTCGGAGATTTGTGCTAACGTAAAGAGCCGCTTTTTAATTATTCCTTGCGGTTCGATCAAGTGAGTTTGAACTTTGACCTCTCTCTCCGTAGAGTCGCCCTCCATTTCATTACGGGCTTGGTTTTTGTTGGCTATCAAGTGGGACTGAACAGCAGGACTGCCGTGAACGATACCGTTGAGTGAGAGTTCGCTCTCATGGCAGAGATCGAGACTCGTGACAGATTGCCCAACCTGTGTATAGACATCCGCCAATTGTTTAGCGCAAGAGACACCTGACTCGGAAATATAGAGATGATCCCCGAGCAGAATCATGACAGGTTCGCCAGCGGCGAAATCCCTTGCACAATAGATGGCGTGTCCGAATCCTTCCGGTTCTGCCTGAATAGCGAAATGCAACCGCTCGCCTATTTCTCCCAATCGATCCGCTTGCGCTGCTAATTCCGATTTTTCGCGAATTGCATCCGCAACGTCACTGGAAAAATAGGTAGCAATCGGCTCAACCTGTTGGGGTTGGGCAACGAGACACACCTCTTCCACACCTGCCGTTAACGCTTCCTCAATAATCAACTGAATGATGGGCTTTGCGATACCATCCTGAGCGATAATTGGAAAGAGTGCTTTCGGCACGGCTTTCGTCGCGGGGAAAAGGCGTGTCCCGTATCCAGCAATGGGAATAATTGCCTTCTGAATGCGCAAAGACATCGGGATTACAAATCCCTCCCGCTTTTAATTTCTCAATGCCTTGAGGTATCCCCAAGTGGTTGAGAGTTTTCCAGCAGGTTCAACAGGCAATTGATCGCTTTTGGACTCAAAATTCTGCTGAACCTCTTTCTCGTCAAGAATCCGATCGTAAATGCGGACGTTATCTATCATACCGGTGAGGAATCTGCCATCGTGTTCACTGCCAATCCGCCGTTCCTTCATGTTTTCAGGGGTTGCGCCAGCATTCCCTTCATCAACTAACTCACCATCAACATAAAGCTTGAGTTCGTTATCTTTGGTATTACTGGTGTAAATAATGTGATACCACGTGTCGGTTTCAGCAGCTAAACGAATCTTGACACCGTCGTTCTTATGCACCTGGATCTGGTTTCCCTCAAATTTGAAATGGACTTTGCCCGCCTCCCACAGCCACGTCGAAACGAGCCCTTGAGTGGGACCGAACTGTCCCTCAAGTGCATAGCACTCAATAGACACAAATTCAAAGTCACCCATATCGGGGATTTCAACGTAGTTGTCGGGTTTCCCTTCAAATTCCATCGCTTCCCCCGTGCCATCTGTCGCCCCTTCGACAAATTTGAGTTTACCGACCACTTCTGCATCATTTTTGCCAAGGGCATCTTTGACAACCTTGCCATCCAGATCCGCTTCATTGAGCGTATATATAGCGACAAGCCCATCTGTCACAAAATCTTGCGCATCAGCGGCGCTCACATACCACAGCGTGGTAAGGAGTACGCCGAGGATGCAAATCGCTCTTCTATCCTTCAGATTCATTGGTGTTGCTCCTTTCGGTTTGAGAAATTAGAGGCAGAGGGATACAAGGATTACCCCTCACTTTTAGTGCTTAATTAATAAGACACAACTATAACTATTAGGTTCGCTAAAACTTTTATACATTTTACCTTATAGATTTTCGGTCTGTCAAGTCAATTCGCCTGTGTGCCTGGAGATATTGGCTCTGTCAATTTACGTTCAAGCGTGAGATTGTCCTCGTAAACGGTTTTGATTAACTCCTCAATATCAGGTTCTTGGACGGATATGTCTATAATCTTGAATTTCTGGAGGATTGTACCGATAAGATCCGCCGTGCTGATCTCCTCTGGCGAGAATCGATACTGCACGCGAGCACCTTCTCGATAGGTAACGTGTGCCTTGGGGATGCTGATGTCTGGATAGACTTCAGCATAATCAACGCTCAAAATCCGTTCTGTTGAAAGTAACCGCCGAAGTGTAGCGAGTTCCCCGTCAAAACAGAGACGTGCATTGTCAATGAGAATGACGCGCTTGCAGAGTTTTTCGACCTCGTCCAAATCGTGTGTTGTCAACACAACCGTGACCTGCCGTTCAGCGTTAATTTTTTGGATAAACTGTCGAATACGCGCCTTTGCGACAACATCCAAACCAATAGTCGGTTCATCAAGAAACAGAACATCTGGATTGTGGAGCAGGGCAGCCGCGATGTCGGCACGCATCCGTTGACCGAGACTCAACTGACGAACAGGTGTCTGGAAAAAATCGCCAAGACTGAGCAATTCGTTAAACATCTCGACGTTGTAGCGATATTGCGTCTCTGAAATCCGATAGATACGTTGTAAGAGTTCAAACGACTCTTGAACGGGTAAATCGAACCACAGATGTGATCTTTGTCCAAACACGACCCCAATGTGTTTAGCGTTCTCCTTCCGCTGTCGATGTGGGATATACCCATTCACGGTCACACTGCCCGATGTAGGCACCAAAATGCCAGTCAGCATCTTGATAGTCGTTGACTTTCCGGCACCATTTGGTCCTAAATATCCCACAATTTCGCCACGTTTTACCGTGAATGAAATCCCGTCCACCGCCTGGACGATGCGGTGTTTTCGAGAAAAGAGGTTCACAAAACTTCCGAAAAACCCTTTGCGGTGATGATAGACCTTGAAAATTTTGCTAAGATTGTCAACTTCAATCATATTTTTATTTTACCTTGCGGATAAGTATCGGTTACTCGTCTCTTGACGTTTTCGTGTTCGAGTCGCACTCCACTTCGTTACGTGCTAAGGTTCCGTTAAAACTGATCATAGGACGAGGAGACCTCACCCTTACGCAGATTACGCTACAGCTAACGTCAAAATCCTCAAACCCAGCCGTGAATGTCGAAAACCCGCAAGGACAACGGACGCAGCGGTCCATGAACAATAAATTAAAAGCCTGTGCTTTGATAGTGTAAGACACCCCACCTCCAAAATAGCATGGTGATGCCGAGAAACAGGAAACCCGCAAAAGGTGCTAATTGCACACCAATCGGTGAAACTCCTGATGATCCAATTTTTCCGAGCAGAAAAAGGGACGGAAAATAGTTAACACACGCCAACGGGATAATAAAAGTGAAAAAATGCCGAAACCACCACCGATAAATGGAAAATGGGTAACTTCCCATGAAAACGCCACCATTCGTGAAGACATTAATAATCTCAATTGATTGGATAGTCCAAAAGCAACTTGTAGCACCAATTACGAAGAGACCTACAAAAAAACAGGTCCCGCTTACCAGCGAAATCAACAGATACCCGACCTTGGTAAGTGACCACGCCACAGTCAACTGCGAATTAGCAATAAGAAATACAACCAGGGCTTGTGCTATCCTCCCTATCCGACGGAGCAGAAATTCATTTGCAAAAACTTGGTAGAAAGTGCCGAGCGGTCGGATGAGGACCGTATCAAAGTCTCCGCGCACAATATTTCTCTGAAAAACATCAAAACCCCTCCCAATCATCTCAGCAACAGCAAAGCAGATGCCAATCATGCCGTAGAGGAACCCGACTTCCCATAGACCCCATCCGGCTAACTCTTTGAAACGGTTAAAGAGGAGAGCAATCATGAAAAAGTCGATGACAGAGATGCTCGCTTGAGCAAACAGATCAAAGACAAACGAGAGCCGGTATTCCATCTGCGACCGGATACGGAGTTTGACAAAATGGAAGTAGAGTGAAAGATGGTGCATTTTCTTGCAAATACCTATTAGCCACCCTGTATGACAAGTCGGGAAAACCCACGGGTTAAAAGAAAACGTCCCATCCCAAGAAAAAAGAGGCTCCACACCATCTGTTTGCCTATAGCGATCCAGACCTCAACACCTGTAATCTTGCCCAAATAGATACTAAACGGGATGTCAATCAAACCTTCAAACGGCAGCCATCTGGCGATGTATTCCAACCATTCGGGCCATAGCGCAATCGGAACCAACATTCCAGAAAATAGCATAATTACGGAACCAGACATTCCAGAAATTCCTGTTGTATCTAAAGTCCAGAACGCACTGCTAAAAATTGTTATTGTGATCGCAGTACTCATGAAAATAGCGAGCGTCATTGAAACTGTAAACGCCATCAAGACGGTGGGCTGCTGCGGAATTGCAACCTTGAAGAAAAAAATGCTGATAAGAAAGGTCGGAAATCCCCGCATGAGTAAGTAATAGCAGGCTCTACCGCACTCATCGGCAAACCAATATGCTTGGAAGTCAACAGGTTTGGTTAATTGGAGTGCAACGCTGCCGTCCTTAATCGCGTTCGTAACTTCAGAACGAGTCCCCCAAAACGGCATGAGCATGAAAGAGACCTGACACAGAACGAAATAGGTGATAATTTCATTCAAATTGAGGGGTTGGGGACCGGTACGCGCTGCGTAGAAAGCAGTATAGACAAAGATATGCACCAGCAAAAAGAAGAAATTGGTCGTCAAGCCTGCAAGGTTTGCAACTCGATATTGCATCCGTCTCTGAAACGATTTCCTTGCAAACGCCAGATAGACCTGGACTGCCAAATAGAGGGCTTTCATCCGGTCGCGGCACTTAAATCTGCGATAGGCACAGATCGTCCCTTTTCTGCGGATTCGTAGATACCGTCAAGCATCTGCATCAACATGATACCCTGTTCTGCCGAGGAGATAGGCTCTTTGCCATCAACAATGCACCCGACGAAGTGTTTTACCTCTTCGTCAAAGCTGTTAATTGAAGGTGCGCTAAGCGGTTTATCCAACTCCTTGCCATCTTCTTCCGTATAAAGGGTGAAGGGGCTGAGAGTCGCTCCTGCTTTCGTTCCCGCCACTTTAATGTAATTGTCGCCCGGTAAGTTCAGTGCCCATGTTGTTTCAAGGATAATAGTCGCGCCATTTTCAAAGCGGATTTGTGCAAAGGTCGCATCGTCAACATCGTATTTAACATTATCAGGCACCAGATGCTTAAAGTGAGAATATGACATTCCCATAACTTCGACGGGTCTTGGAGAATTCATCAGCCACCAGACACAATCCAAGGCATGGACACCAATATCAATGAGTGCGCCACCCCCTGCGCGTTCTTTATCGACAAACCAACCTTCCTTGCCGATAGGAATGCCGCGCCGTCGAACATAACCCGCTTTGCCGAAGTAAATTTCACCGAGTTCACCTTCCTGTACCAGCTGTTTGAGTCGTTGGGTACTTCCATCAAACCGCTGTACAAGGGCGTACATTAATGTCTTTCCATTTTGGGTGGCTGTATCAGCCATAGCCTTTGCCTCCTGTGCACTTCGAGCAGGAGGCTTCTCGCAAAGCACATGCTTGCCAGCGTTCAAAGCGTCAATAGAGATAGGGGCGTGGAGGAAGTTCGGCAGACAGACGCTAACGGCATCAATATCCGGATTTTCCAACATCTCCAAGTGGCTGGTATACGTATTCGGTATTTTATGTTCCGATGCCACCTGCCTGACATGCTTCTTATCTAAATCGCAGATGGCAATCACTTCTGAACGCGGATCGGCGGTATAGCCTTTGAGATGTTGCATCCCGGGCCAACCGAGCCCGACGACAGCCGCGCGAACTTTCGTTGTTGGATTTGACACAGCATGTGCTCCTTTTCTTTTCGGCGTAACTTGCAAGCCAAAATTTGCTATTCTAATTTCCCAGAAACTTTGATTTCGTGAGGGAGGCGTGAAATTATGTGATTTTTAGTCGTGACGCAGTGCCTCGGTTGGGGTGAGGCCTGAGGCTTTGTTCGCTGGATAGAGTCCAAAAAATATGCCGATTAATGCGGAAACGCTAAATGCGATCAAAGCGGCTTGGACAGAAACAACAGCGGGCCAACTCGCTTCATGAGTTTTGAAATGACCAAACCGGAAACAGAGGCGAGGCTGCTTCCAATGAAAATGCCAATGAGCCCACCGCAAATGCTCAAAACGATGGCTTCAATGAGGAATTGGATCAGGATGTCGCGACGTTTTGCTCCAAGGGCTTTGCGCAAGCCGATTTCACGTGTTCTCTCTGTTACGGAGACCAACATAATATTCATGATCCCAATGCCGCCAACGAACAAGGCAACACTCGCAACGCCACCTAAGAGTATTTGAACAATCCGGCTGACGTTACCTACCTGTTTTATAATCTCCTTAGCGGTGAAAAATTCAAAATATTTTTCATCACCGTGTTGCTGTCGCATCGCAATTTTGACTTCAGCGACGGCTTGTTCAACCTTGTCATAACTCTCGGCTTGCGCCCACAAGAAGATCCAGCCTTTCTGCTGCCCGATAAAACGAATTTCCATTGTAGTGAGGGGGATAATTACCCGATTATCCCACCCCTCACTCGCCATGCTGTTCCCTTTTTCCTCCATGACCCCGATGACGGTGAACCGTTCCGTGCCGACTCTAAGTTCAAGCCCAATTGGATCCTCCATCTCAAACAGGTCTTTTCGGACTTCAGAACCGATTACACAGACGGGTTCTCTCCGCTCCATGTCGCTCTGCGTAATAAATCTACCGGCTTGAATGTACCAGTTATTAACCTCTTCATAGAAAGGTGTAACGCCTTGGATTTCAAGCGACTGATTAACGTGCTTGTGCGATACGGTGAAATTCACCTGTGACAGTGCTGTAGCTGCTTTAAGAGAGGGACAATTCTCAAGGAGAAAATCCAGATCTTCGTATTCAATATACTCCGGATGTTTATTTTCGACATACGAGCCATCCTCTCTACGAAACGCCTCTTTCCGAAAGCAGACGATCAGTCCTGCGCCGCCGATCCGTTCTAATTCAGCGAGCATAAGATGTTCTGCACCGCCGCCAACAGAAACGACAGCTACAACCGCTGCGATACCGATGATAATCCCGAGAGTTGTAAGTACAGAGCGCAACTTGTTACGTTGCAGTGCTGACAAACCAACAGTAACCCCTTGTGTAATCTGCATAATTCTCTAATTCTCGTAGGCGACTTTTACCCGTGCAGGTTTCATTGATTCGCCGTGTAACAAAAATGCACGGATGTCGTAACGCCCTGGGCGTTCAATAGGCAAATCTCCGCTTTCAATCATCAAATCCAGCGGATTGGCATGCGTCCGCAGCGGCAATTGGACGACTTCGTGCATACGTGCGGATTCATAGATCGCCATTATAATTTCAATAGCAGCACGCCCATGTTTTGCCTCACCGCGGTGTTCAGGCCCGCCCTCGATCCATTCAACCAGCTCGGTTGCTTGTGCGACGTGCTGGTCCCTTCCATCGGAGGGACGTTCTTCCCAGTCTGTAGCTTTATTGTTGAGGAGACGGACGCGCCCCTCCGTTACATCTGCGATACCATCTGTTCCGTAGACGATTCCACCTTGATAGTTCGGTCTACCAATTTCCTGCAAGAGCATACCGATGCAACCGTTTGAAAAGCCGATAATTCCAGCACTCCGGTCCTCAATCTGAATATCTCGCTCGTAACGTTCCGTTTTCCGTTCAACGTTACCGACAACCCATTGCGGATCCGGGTCACCGATGACATAGCGCATCATATCAAAGAGGTGTGAGCAGTCATTCAGTAACCCTTGACCGCCGTGACAGACAATCTGTCGGGGTTCACCGATCGCCCCCGCAGCAATGAGGTTGCGGGCATCTGTCCATGCGGAATTGAAGCGGCGTTGATGCCCGATGACGACCTTGACACTGCTTCGATTCGCGGCGATTAACATTTCGTCACATTCACCGAGACTTACACCCATCGGTTTTTCACAGAGTACTGCCTTTGGACTTCGCGCACACGCTGCGATTGCCATGGGTGCATGGAGTTTATGCCACGTCGCGATACTGACAATATCAAGGTTTTCGTTATCCAGCATCTCGCGCGCATCCAAATAACAGTTTTCAGCAGATACGCCATAGGTTTCTGCAAACTTATCAAGAGCTACTTGAACTGGATCGGCAAGTGCGACAATCTCTGTTTGCTCAACACCCTGATAGCCGCGTGCGTGAGCATTGGCAATACCACCACATCCGATAATTCCAACGCGATATTTAGATGCCATTTTTATTTTTCCTTGCGGTTAAGTAACATAGGTTAGAAAATTGACGTGCCTTTCTCTATAGCCGCTTTCCACTTCGTTTCAAGCTTGGTTTTCGCGATCTTCTATGAAATATACGCTTTACTGACCGGCATTTGTATCTTCACCGAAATGTGAAGACACAAGAACTAAATCAAGGACATTCACCGACCCATCACCGTTCACATCCGCTTTAAGGGCTTCTCCAGACTGACCAAATTCGCTCGCGACCAAGACTAAGTCTTGAATATTCACGTGTCCCATCGTCATTGACATCCCAAGGTGTCGGCGGCGGTGGAGGTATTTCTGGTGTCGGCGGCGGTGGCGGCGTTTCTACAGTTGTAGTGGCTGTGACTTCAGCAGTCATCGTGCTATCTGTCTTGGAAGTCGCCGTCACACTAATGGGATAATCGCCAGGTTCTGTCAATAAATCCCCTGCAACCTTCAATGTTACTTCTGCATCTGCACCGGCTTCAAGTTCAACTGACCTGTCACTGAGGGCACCAAGGACACTGCCTTCAATGCCGGCCTCTGCTGAGGCTTCAAGCATTATCGTGTCCATCATATTGCCGGTATTCGTTACTTTGAGGGTATAGTTTACACCTGCGACGGTATCCATTGTAGAGAGTGCTGTGTCTCCTACGATTTCCAAGGACACACCGGCGACTATGGGTACTGGAGGTGTCGATTCTGCCTGTTTTGTGTAGATATAATCATCTATAGGGTTGAAATTTCCATTGGAAGCGTTTCCGGCAGTATAGAAGGTAATAGGACCTATATCCGCATCAGGGGCAGTCCACTGAAATTCCCAACTGTGCGCGTCGTTTGTGCCTTGAGCCGTTCCAATAGTAGTGTGCTTAATGTACTGTTTAGCGTTTGTTTCGGATAACTGTGTGTTTGCTGCGGCATCGGCGGCAAATGAACCAGCACGTTCGCCATCGGCATCTAGCACAGTCATTTCAAACCCCCATCGACTCTGCCCGGCGCGCGACAAATTAACAACAATCGTATACACCTCATTCGGTATGTATATTTCAGGAATTTCCAGCATCAGTGAGCCACTTGAGACATTGAGGTCATTACCGGCATGGCACCCTGCTTGTGCACAAGTTTCTTCATTGGGGGCTCCCGTTTTCTCATCCAGTGGACCGGAAGAGAAAGGGAATACATTGCCGGTGCTTGCAACGAAAAGTAACACAAGCACTGCCCAAACAGGTAAACTATTTTTTAGATAACTCAAAAAACTTCTCCCTTAGTGTACACATTAAAAAACGCCCCAACACCGACTGCTAATCGGCGTTGATTCGCGGTTAGCTCAACCGGCACATTGGGGCGTTTTATTTTTCAATAGTAAGTTTTGGCTCGCAAGCTTCGCCAAAAAGCATTTTCGCTGCTATATCTACTTGAGAATAACCATCCGTCGGGTCGCAGCAAAATCTGATGTCTGTAGCGTATAGAAGTAGATACCACTCGCTACACGCTCGCCTACTGCGTTCTTACCATCCCAGTACGCAGCACCTGACGGTGTCATATACGAACCTAACGGCTTCCATCCCAAATCCAGTGAACGAACCAAATGACCCGATATATCATATATATCGATCTTCACTTCTGTCGCTTTACTCAACTGATACGGAATCCACGTTTCTGGATTGAACGGATTCGGGAAGTTCTGCGCCAAAAGCGTGTCTTGCGGCTGCACATCTCCAACATTCAGTTGTAGACTCAGGAACGCATTGCGAATATCCATCGTCGTAACCGTGCGTTGGAACGGACCTGATACGATGCTACCACGATCGTCGTAAAGGGCGACTTTGAGTCTATCGCCTGCTTCAACAACACTCTTGCGGTTCAGGTCTGCCCAGACAGCAGACGAACGTCTCGCTGCGTTTGTGACATTCTCCGTGGCGATAACACCCGTGCGGAGATTCTCAGCAACGAGTGTGTATGCTGTGCCTGTATCCATCCCCTGAATGTCGCTGGTAACGATGAACGCCCACGCACTTTTATAGGTTGAGAGCGCAGGTGCAGCGGGTGCTTCTTCTTCCTCAGCGGCTGGTTCTTCAGCAACTTCCTCGGCGGGTGCTTCTTCCTCAGCGGCTGGTTCTTCAGCAACCTCTTCAGCGGGTGCTTCTTCTTCAGCAGCTGGTTCTTCAGCAACCTCTTCAGCGGGTGCTTCTTCTTCAGCAGCTGGTTCTTCAGCAACTTCCTCGGCGGGTGCTTCTTCCTCAGCGGCTGGTTCTTCAGCAACTTCCTCGGCGGGTGCTTCTTCAGCAGGTGCTTCTTCCGGCTCAGGCTGGTTGTCCCACGCATCACCTGTGAACTTCACCATGCCTCCAGCAGGAGTATTCACAATATAACCCTTGCCACCATCAATACCAAAACCGTCACCTTCATCAGCTACCGTGTAACCCGTGAAACTCTGGGTCGCAGCATCGAGTTGGATCACAACCGTTGCACCCAACATTTCTGCCAACGATTTCGCTGTGTAGGGATCTGCCGGCATCAACGGAATAGAAACCATGTTCAAACCCGGTTCGAGCGTTACATCAAAACCAGGACCTTCTACGACCGGTTCTGGAATCGGTTCTTCTACAACTGGCTCTGCGGGGGCCTCAACAGGCGTGATCATCAACATTGCTGTGGGTTCATCCCACGCAAACGCTTCACCGACATCAGCCCCGCCTTGAATACCTTCGTGTGCTGCTATGACACCACCTTCGGTCGGAACCCGCTCATTGCTCCCTTCTGGATCAACAGCGGCATCTAAAGCGAGCGGACCCGGAATATCAGAAGCCATTTCTGTGTTCTCTTCACTACCGGCATCATAAGCGTTTAAATCGAGACTCGCCGACACAGGTGCGCCATCCTCATCAAAAAGTGCTACATCGGTAGCCGCGATGAAGGCATCATTTGTTGACACGAGCATGGAACCTACAGAGAGCGAAGAGTTTACCATGTCAGCCGTCACGGTGACAGTAAGGGATCCACCGGGAGGAACCACACCCTCAGCGACCATGCTGTTCGCGCCAGCAGCAGCTGCGAGTGCAACGAGGCCTGAAGCATCTCCATTTTCAGCAAGAGCCACAAGGGCAGGGCTCGCTGGTTGACCGACTTCGGCAAGGTTTATACCGGCAGCGTGCGTCACAAAGATGGGTGGTGAGAGGACTTGTCCACCTGCTCCGGGTTCACCAGTAGTGAGGTTCGTGAGGGTAATCTCGAACATCTGGCTCACCGGCATTTCAGGAGCTACCTCTTCGGCAGGGACTTCCTCAGCAACTGGCTCTTCCGCTGGAGTTTCCTCTGCGGGTGCCTCTTCAGCAGCTGGCTCTTCCGCAGGTGCTTCTTCGGCGGGTGCTGGCTCAGCACCAGCGACGGTAACCATGCCATCCATAGTTGTAGCATCTAAAGCATTAGCAGTGGCATCGGCGAGGGTAAGATCCGTCAAACTGATAGCGGACGGTTTTGCCTCAACAACTGTAAATGTTACTGTAGCGAGTGTGCCATCACCATCTGGGGCAGGTCCTGTCAAAGAAGTTCCGGCGATTGTAACACTACTATCAGTCGTAGTAGCTGGTACTGCAAAGGCACCTGCGGGCAAATAGTCTGCGTTCCCACCAGAAACATAACTAAGTGCAGTTGGGTCAAAGTTCACGGTTACTTGATATCCAGCAACACCGGCACCACCTGCTATGTTAATGTTCACCATGAGTTCTTCCCCAACTGCTGGGGATTCTACTTCAGCAGGATCTACAGAAACGACGGCTTGACCATAACTCATTGCTGTAAACCCTAAACACATTACAACAGCTAATAAGGAAAAAAGGATTTTCCTGTTAAAAAGCTGGTCTTTCATAAGACACTCCTTATAATTCATTTATATTCTGACGTTTCCTTACCTTTCGGTAAAGTCGGTAAAGATTGTAGCCCCTCGTTTGACAAAAGATTTCAACCGTAATAAATATGGGAGATTCTTCCGCACCAGCGCATTGGAATCAGAGCGCAAGGTGAGTCGCTCAAATGGGACTTTTTAAGGTTAAAAGATAAGTTTATCCTAATTTTAAAACGTTGTCAAATCAAATTCGGTTCAAATTTAGATAATTTTCCGAAAATTAGGCGAACGTACCCTTTGTGATTTTAAGTATAGCATAAACACCAAAACAAAGCAAATTAAAAATGAACTGAGTTGCCACCCAACTAAAAGCACTGAAGCAACCCTATTAACCGTATTAGGACACATCTTATAATAATTAATTTTTAATTATTATATTTGACTTAATATAGTAAATCACACCCTTAAAGTCAACTCATAATTCAAATTAATTTATGTGTGATTTCAAAATGAGAGGTAATCCGCATGTTGTTTAAATCAAAACAGAAACTGAACACTCATAACCTTCTATGCGGTAACTTGGGTTAAAAGTAAGCTACTGGGTTACGCGGGGAGCAAGCGCATTCCAGACCTCACCTAATTCAGCGATAGCCTTGTAAACCGGATAGATGGCTTCCCACATTGCTTTACGCGCTGCGGTGGCGGCGTCTGCGTCACCCTCAGCGAGTGCTGTCTTAAGTTGAGTGCCCATCTCCTGCTGAACTGCTGCACAGGTGCGAGTAAGTTCTTCCAACAATTGTGCGGCATCTATCTGACGCGCAACGAGTTCCGCTACTGACACCTGCATATCCGGCTCAACATCGTACGCACGAGGTGGGGCGAAATTGTGCGGTAGTCGTTCGCCTTCTTCTGTACGTGGCGTGTGCGTAGGGTAGATATGTGGCGTAACAGACAGATACATTGTCATAGGTTCATCACCGAGAACTCGCACTGTGTGCGGTTGGTCTGCTATAGCAACGCACATCTGTCCTGCTCCCAACTCTTCAGTTTCGCCATCAATCTCAAATTCGACGCGCCCTTCCAGAATTAGGAAAATTTCATGCCCCAAGTCATGACTATGAAGTTGGGCACTTTGCCCAGGCTCCATCCTTAAAAACCGAGAGCGAATTTGCGGTGTCACCAACACATTCCGTATATCTGTGCGGTAATCGTAAACAGGAAATCCCATTGTATGCCTCCATGGACTTTTGACATAAATATACAATGTCCCGTGAAAATTGGCAAGGCAAATTAGGACATCGGTGTACTTTTCTCTTGACACTCTTTATAACTATGAATAAAATATTGGCAAAAGACATAACACCTCATTTCTTGAATTGGAAGGACATAAATTATGGATTTGACACGCCAACCGCCACGTCGCCCTTCAAATCTCGGAATCGCCGGGATTGTAGGTGTGGCACGGATGACAGACAAGGCACGCGCACATAACGCGGAAACTCTCGATGATTATATCTACGGTGAGAGTTCTGGCTTGGATCAGCGCGTCTTAATGTTTTTAGGGATTTCCGCCGACGCTTACGCCGAAGCAGCTGACGAATACGACGATGCTGCACTCGGGCACTGGGTGCTTGAAACAAGCGGAAAGACGGCAGCAGAGATTGCCGAGTTTAACGATGCCGCCCTCAGCCAACTGCCTGACACAGAGGGACACAAACAACGGTTGAAGGACCGACTCGCACGCTTTGCCCCAGGACGAACCGATATTACGACGGTATTGCAGTCGATGGAGCTCGACGATTGGGGAAGTTTCTGGCAAGTTGACCTGACTGCCGGACCGCCACGCAGTCCGCTCTCTAAAGACATCGCTGGCATTTGTGGTGTCGCACGGATGACAGACAAAGGGCGCGCTGAACGTGCAGGCAAAATCGGTGAGTACCTATACGGCGACAATTCCGGGCAAGATGTACGCATTTTAACATCCCTCGGTATTTCAGCTGCAGATTTTCAGGAAGCCGCGGTCAACAACCCGAATAATCTCGAACTCGGTGCATGGGTCCTGGAAAACTGCGGTAAATCGCAGGACGAGATTGATGAATTCAACGAAACGTTGGTAAACTATGGACCCAATGAAGCAACACGGGAACGGTTTGAAGCGCGATGTCAAGAAGTAGATCCGACCCGCACAGACATCACCACGTGGGTAGCACTTCAGGACGCAGACGATCAGTTGAGTTTCGGTATTGTCGACCTCAACCGCCGTGCGCCACGGAGTCCCTACAATACCGATGTCTACGGAATGGTTCAACTCGCACGGTTGATTGACAAGGGTAGAGCATTCAACAGCAACACACTCGGTGCCTATTTTTATGGTGAGGATTCGGGAATCGACCGAGCAACACTCGCTTTTTTAGGAATCTCCGCTGCAGAATTTACTGAGGCACTGAAAGCCTTACCAACCGATACAGAGGTTGAGGCGTGGCTGAAGGCAGATCATTCGCAGAGCGAAGCGGACATCGATACCTATAACGAACGTATGACACAAATGGGTCCTACGACCGACAGGCACAAGGCAATGATGGCAAAGATGCTCAGCCGGATTGCGCCAGAGCGTACGGACATCAATACGTGGTTCGCGCTGATGTATCTTGATGATGAGAAAACCTTTGCGTCGTAAACAGGACATCGAGAAATTGACACAGCTGCCGGCACGCCCAGTTTGTGACGGGCTGGCAGCTTCCTCTGTTTTGGCATAGCCTCTTCATGGAGCATGACAATGAAAAATCTTGAAGCGATCGCTGATGTTCGTTCTGGAAAAAGCACGGTTGCCAACGCAGCGTGGTGGGGATTCGACGCGGAAGATGCAACAGAAGCATTACAATCGGCTATAGATTCGGGCGTGAAACGGGTGGTTGTCCCGAATATGCACGCCGATTGGATAATCCAGCCGATTAAACTTGCGGGAAACCAAGAGTTGATTTTTGAGCGCGGGACAGTCGTCACAGCGAAACGGGGCGAGTATCGCGGCAGAGGCGATTCGATGTTCAGCGCACAAGATGTGGAGAATCTCACCATCCGTGGCTACGGCGCAACCTTTCGTATGTGGAAACAGGATTATATCAACGGGCTTGTACTTGAGCAGTTTGGCTGGGACCGCTGGTATGGACAATATCCAAAGGCGGAGTGGCGCATGACCCTGGCAATTCGAGGCTGTAAAAACGTAAATGTGTCTGGTTTGACGCTCAAAGATAGCGGTGGAGATGGCATTTACGTTGATGGCGGCAGAGAACGACGTGCCTCTGAAAATGTGGTCTTACGTGACATTGTCTGCGATAACCATTATCGACAGGGTATCAGCGTTATTAGTGCTGAAAACCTCAAAGTCGAGAACTGCACGTTTTCAAATACCTGGGGAACGCCACCAGCATCAGGTGTGGATATTGAACCGGACAAAAGCGAGCAGCGAATAAAAGATACAGTATTCTCCGGATGCCAGTTTATTGATAACGTCGGCGACGGCATTGAAGTATTCTTGGCACATACTACCAAGGAATCTGATGACGTGACACTGCGCTTCGAGAATTGCTACATCAGTAGTAAACACGGAACGGGTATCCGCGTGACGAAAATTGGAGACAACGGTCCCGGTGGCAGTATTGAATTTGATAACTGCACAGTTGAGAACACCGTCGGTTACGGCATTAAGGTTCAGGAAAAATCGGTGACAGGCGCACGAGTGAAGTTCACCGATTGTAAGGTCGTCCATGCCGCCACTGATCGTCAGTTCGGTGGCGAATGGTCGCCGATTTCGTTGTCCCTGCCAAAACCAGAGTTAGTCCAGACGATGGGCGGTATTGACTTTATCAACTGCTTTGTTGAGGACAATCGCGACCGTCCTGCCGTCGAATTCACCCAACCGGAGAGCGATTTCCCGCTTCATGACATCACAGGAACAATCACGGTGTTGAACCCAAACGGTGTTTGTGCCGAGTTAGGTAAAGACCGTGATAAACTTCCATTGATCGTCAGAGAATATCAATAGGCACAGGACACCGCTCACTCCAACCTACATATTAGGATTCAGAACAATGGTAAAAGAACATGCACTTCCCGCTGAACCTCTACCTCCAGACGCCTTGAACGCTATCTTGGAGGATTTCTATCAAAACGGTGTGACGATTGTCCGAAATGTGCTCTCACGCGAAGAGTGCGAACGGATAGTTGCGCGCGTCGACGAAATCTTCGCCGAGCCTTACTTTATGCAGATGCGCAATGTCAAAGCCACTCGGCAAGATGGTAAAGATCCTATCGTGGTTCATCGTCTCTTTGAATGTGACCTCATGTTTCGCGACCTGCTGGTACGTGAACCGATTATCAACATCGCTGAAAGTGTGTTAGGTGAGCATTGCCACTGTATCGCGCAAGGGTGTATCCTCAACCGAAAAGATTTAGGGATCAATCGGTTTCCACATCGACGATGGTGTGGAATTTCCGATCACGCCAGAGATGGAACGGCATGATCCAAGACTACGGATGCCTGTGCTCCGTATGTCCGTGCAAATCGCACTGACCGACCAAGATGATGTCAAATACGGTCCGTCCCAATTCGTCCCCAGTAGTCACTACTCTGGACGACAACCCGATGATTCGGAACATCCAACTTTTGACGGGAAAGCACCTGTTTCACTCCTCATGAAAGCCGGGGACCTCTACCTGCTCAATGGACAGACTTGGCATCGAGGGGCACCAAATCAGACAGATCGGGTCCGATACCTATTCCACCAAGTCTACGGGCAACGCTTTGTTGCACAGCGGTTCTGGCCCTATCTAAACTACCGTATGCCCGACTACGTTTTGGAAGGTGCAGATGAACGTCTGTTGCGTGTTCTTGGGAAACATCCTGAAATGGCTTATGGATGAATTTATTCTTAATAAATAGCCTTGCACTCACCTTGATTCATTTCTTGGATTACGCTATTATTATCATATCGGGAACAATAAATTATAAATTATTAGACATAATAATATTACCCTCATACAATTTTAGTGCCTGAAAGTCATTGGTGGACATTTTTGCAATTTCGCATACGTCCGGAACGCACAAGTAGAAATTATCTATTATCTACGTCACCAAAAACCTAAAGGAGATTCACGATGTTTATTGAGATCATCAACCAAGAAGGGAGGTATCAATCCTCCTACCGAGGGATGGTGAATATTCAGTACGTACACCAGATTCAGATAATCAAAGGGAGGCATCGTTCGTACGAGTTGCACATTAATCTGTCAAATTCGCCCAGCATAGAGCTGCTCGGCACGAAAGAAGAATGCGAGCGATTCTACAATCAGTTGCAAGAGGTATTGAAGACCTATCAACAATTATCGACAACTGATACGCTTATTTTCCCACCGCGATTGCCGTCAGCACCGACCATAGACGAGAACGAAAAAGTGGTGTAAGCAGAGAGTTCGTTTGTAAGGTCTTTGTAGGATTTCTCCCGCTCCAACAGTACTGGGTTGTTAGGCTAAAGAGAGCCATCACCGTCATAATTATAAGAAAGAAAATGAGAGAACAGTTGGCGAAACCGCTGAACCGCTCTGTCAGTATAATGTAGGAGAACACCCCAAAGGAGATAAAATGATGTTCATTGCTACTTACAACGCCATCTATGCCGTTGGAGATGATGGAAATAGTGAACCCACCGCAGTCTATGAAGGCACAGACCATCAAGGCCGCGGCGGAAGGCATCCCGATGGCGCAATGGTTTCACTGTCAAGCGGTCAAGCCGTGGTGTCTGCCTTGTTGGATGGAACGCTACTGGTTTTATCGGAGGATGGTGAGAAACGAATTCCAACAGGTATAGAGGATCCAATCGCTTCGTTGCTCGTTGTTCGCGAAAATCCGTTGACGCTGCTCATCGGAACGGATGAGGGGGCTTATGTCTATCGCCTCGTTGGAGAAGAAGGACCGGCTGAACGGGTCGTCGCGTTTGACGAATTAGAATGTCGGAAAGATTGGTATACGCCGTGGGGCGGTCCACCAGCGGTACGGACTTTTGCCAAGACCCAAGACGGCTTTTGTTACGCAGATGTCCATGTCGGAAGTATCATGCGTTCCCCCGATGAAGGAATTTCGTGGGAACCCGTCACGCCAGACCTCAATAAAGATGTCCATCAGGTCGCTACGTGTCCTGCGGACGATCATCAAGTTTATGCGAATACCGCCAACGGTGTTTACATCAGTACAGATCGTGGAAACTCATGGGAACATCGGCTTCAAGGTTTACCTCGTCGCTACGGCACCGCTATTGCTGTACATCCCAGCAGACCCAGACCTATTGATCGCCACAGTCCAAAACGGACCGAGAGGCGGTGGTGCTTGGCTCTGTCGTTCGGAGAATGGCGGCGCGACGTGGACTCAACTCAACGATCAGCTCACAGAATCCACCGATCGGATTAGCACGGACTGTATTGCGTTTACATCCGATGGAACGGCATGGACAGTGATCGGAAAGACGCTTTATATCGGTCAGAATCGAGCCACAGATTGGAGTCCTTTCTGGACAGTTCCCGAATACGATGGTGTGTATCAACCACCTTCCGACGATTTTTCTTTAACTCATCTCCTTGAATACCCCATCCAGACCCTTGCTGTTTAGCGCATTATTTCGGTTAGTCAGGACTTACGCAGCTCCCTTTGCTGGCGAGGTTTCAAACCTCGCCAGTGGCGTGCAGGCCGTAGACCCTCCTTGATAATTGGGGCACCTATAAAAATGTAACCGACACAGGCATCCTCCAGCAAATCATGGAAGAAAACAAAATTAAGGAAGCGGGACAAATTAATGAAGTCCGCACGAAAGTTGACTAAAGCATCCTGTCTTCAGTGAAAATGAGATGAAGACATTGGCACGACTCACGCACTACTTGGAGGTAAGCCCCAGGTTGGACGAAATAGCCATATCCCAGTCTCCGGTGAACACCCACCAATTTGTCATGGTTTTCCCTCCGTATAGAATCCGATTGCTATGCCCAGGCATATTCTGCATCCAGTAGATATACCACTGCGACTCCACACGTTGCGGAATCTCAGCAAGGTTCGCGTCGGGCCATTGATACCTCAAATTGCCCCAGGTATCAACGTTGACGACTTTTTTTAAGCCGCTATTATCAGGTGTCCAATCTTCAATATCACTCTCGACATCTGCTGCGTTTCGGGTATCGTAGTGTTCAGTTGTATTCGGCGGCATGTGCGTCCAGCCTGCACGCCCTGTGATGAAGTCCCCATTTTCGTCTTGGCCGACAAACTTCTTCCAAAAAAGATCTGTATTGCCGTGTTGCAACTGATTGACATGGCTTAATATTACTTCCAAGTGATGTCCATGGTTATGAACTGCTTCCGCTTGCGTGCGCCTGAAATTCTGCCCATAAACGGTATAGGTCGAATTGTATACGGGTAAATCGGTGTTATCCCGATTGCTGTTAGAAATGTCCCCAGTCAAAGGGCTTGACATATTGGATTCCCACCAGTTCCTGAAATTTTCGGGCTTATGAAGACTCGGATCATAACTCGGAAAATCTGGGGCAACCCCGCCCATCCATACCCAAATCTCCTTGACCCCCAAGTCGTTGACATAATGTGCCATATTAAATCTGTCGAATATCTGATGAAAATCAGGCGCGTAGATACGGAATCCATTTACCTCTCCAATAACAGGACCGCGGGGGGTTTGTTCATAAACGGGTAACATAAGCTACCACCCGATAGCCTATCGATGGAGCGGCTGAAGGCATTTTATAGCCTCTAAATCGACTGCCTTCTTCGAGCATAAATTTAACGCGCTTATCAAAAGCATCAATTCTTTCTTTCATCTCTTCCAAGGAAATCTCACCGAGGCTCCGATAATCCGCTGCCATGGAGACATCTAAATTTTTTCCATCTACTGTCGGTAAGAATCGCATGACGACGACAGGAATTTCATAAATGTGGCCGGGGGCAGGGGTCGCCAGATACGGATCGATCGGATCGAATACCGGCGGAATCTCTTCTGCAAACAGAGACCACCGCTGCGTTATCATCACAATAAGCGTGATAGACCCAAGTCTAAAGACTTGGGCTTCTGCAAAAGTTAAGCAGAAGCATTTGTAGAATTCAGAAGCGGATGTTCCGATTCAACGGAGCAGCCAACAATCCTATTAAATAGAACAATTGGGCTTACAACTCCTAACCTAAAGGAAGCTACCCCTTCCTTTAGAATGTTGATAGCAGCGTTCTGGTCACGATCCAAATGTGTATAGCAACTTGGACACGTCCATTTACGGTCTGCCAAGGTGAGATTATTATTTTTATGGTCACAAACAGAACAGCTTTTACTTGTCGGAGACCAGCGATCAATCTTTAATACAGAACGTATCCGTTTATGAGATTGGTGCTTGAGTTTTTGCATAAATGCACCGAATGCGAGGTCAGAAACTTGTTTGCCCCAAAGTTTTTTCATTCCGCGCAAGTTAAGGTCTTCAAAGAACAAAACATCAAAGTTTCGGCATAAGTCTATTGCCAGTTTCCAATGGTGGTCTGTTCTCTGATTCACAGTCTTTTTATGGATACGGGCAACGGTCTTGCGTTGGCGTTCTTGGTTGTTAGACCCTTTGACCTTGCGGGAATATACTTTCTGTGCTTCTGCCAATGTCTTGGCATTCTGTTTGTAGAACATGGGAGAAACGTATGGCTTACCATCACTACCAGTCAGGAAGTCTTTGATACCAAAGTCGAACCCTTCAGCTTTACCTGTCTTGGGTTCATATTTGATTTCACTATAATCTTCAGTGACGGTAATATACACGCTTCCGAGTGCGTCCCTTGTGACTTGGACTTGCTTGATTTCACCCTGTATCTCACGATGCAAGGCAAACCGATACCAACGTCCATTTAATCGGATTTTATACGTAGGGTGATTTCTTTTGTTCTTTTGCTTATCTAATACTTTCTCAAGTTTTATCTGCTCACCGCGAAACGTCATACCTTTATGTTTCTTGCACGACTTGAATTGCGGGTGTCCTCTGCCTAATGTTTTCATTTCACGAAAGCTTTGTGCCAGACGCTTGAGGATATTTTGGAGACTCCACGAGTAAGGAATATTCCAATGCTTATACTTCTCAAGACGCTTGAGTTTCGTCAAATGTTTAGACATTTTCGCATACGAAATCCCTTTACCATATCTGCGGTAATACCGCATGGAAAGTGCAAGAAAGTGGTTCTTGACAACACCACAGATATTGAATTCGTCGTGTAAGTGACGCAACGTCTTATCATGAAAAAGTTTATGATTTGTGTTTCGCATGGTATATCAAGTATCAAGCCTTTAACCCCTTCATAGTGGGTAGGCAGACACGTAACCTTGCGATTACGCTATGAATGTCTGCCAACTTGATACTTTAATTATACTACATTTTAGACCAAATGTCAAATGTATTTTAGCCGTTTGGTCTTTTCCAATAAGGCGGGTGTCTACATCCCAAACCTAAAGGATTGGGTTTTGACACCGAAGTTAGATAACATGCAAATCTGGGAAAAACAGTAAAATAGAAACTGGCGCGGTTACAAATCTCACCAGCAAGAGAACTAAACTCGAACTACGAGGAGGACTAACATTGGTTCAAAGGATTGAGGAACAGGACGGGTACATGCTACTCCATTATGGAGAACCGCCGGCAAATGTAGGGCAAATCGAGTTTGTTAATTGCATCGCGCATCAACAAAACCGGATACTCTTCTGCAAATGGCGTGATGAGAACATTTGGGTAGTACCCGGCGGACGCGTCGAACCCGGAGAAACGGCTGAAGAGACTGCACACCGAGAACTTCTGGAGGAGACGGGGGCAACACTACAAAACCTCGAAGTGCTGTGTTACATACACTGCTTCATGTACAATCTCGAATACTGGGGGATCGCTTACTTGGGAGAAATTAAAGCGTTAGGCAGCCCAACGGACCTTAACGAAGTCAGTGAAGCGAAATTGTTCTCGTCCTTTCCAGAAAACCCTTCTAAATCGGGACCGTTTAAGAATGAGAACAAAGCGTTATATCTCGCTGCAACGCGATAAACTATCAGAAGCAAAACATTGATTTATGGTAAACCCTAAAAATATGTAGACAGTTGCTCAACGAACGAAACCCTCACCCCGCTGGCGAGGATTGTATCCTCGCCTCCCGCAATGTCCAAGTAATTGTGGGTTTTACCATAATTTAGAAATTTTGATATTTTTTGCAGATTTTTTTGACATTCACGGCAATTGTAGGTATAATTAGTACAATTCACGCAATTATTTGCGAATTTATCGAGATTTTTTTGACATTCGCGGGAATTGTGGGTATAATTAAAAGATAATGAGTCTCGTTATCAATTTTTTAGAACGTAATCTCCAGCAAATATTCAGACTTCCACCGAACAACCTATTATGATAATGAGTCTCAATATCATATTTTAAATTGTGTTTAGGAAGAAACAGTTGGCTAATTCCATAAGATTTCTCGCGGTTTGCGGAATGTTTATTTCACTAAGTGTCGGTGTTATTGCTGAACCGAATCCATTCTCGGTCTCCGGATACGGTGTGATTAACTACTCCCACTTCGACTGGGAACTTGACCCAGATAGACGCGCTGCTATTGACGTGGAACGTTTCGTCATCGCGCCGAAATATCGTATCAACGATACTATCCGACTTGAATCGGAACTTGAGATTGAGCACGGTGGCACCGGCAGCACAATGGAATTCGACAAATTTGAAGAGTTCGGCGAATTTGAGACAGAGATCGAAAAAGGCGGCGAAGTTATTGTTGAAAAACTTGCCGCTGTCTTCTCCTTTCAACCCTCTTTTAATCTCCGCGTTGGGCATATCATAGTCCCAGTAGGGACTCGTCGCGAAACGGCATCGACCGCAACACTATTTTACCACAACACGTCCGGAAGCGGAGGCACATCTCATTCCAACTATCTGGCATGAAACCGGTGTCGAAATTTTCGGCACACTCGGTTCGCTACAGTATCAAGCACAAATTGTCAACGGATTGGATTCAACGGGTTTTAGTTCCCGACACTGGATAGTTCGCGGACACCAACTTCGGTTTGAAACTGTGAACGCTGAGACACCCGCATTCGTCGGGCGCCTCGATTATGCGTTCCATGAAAACGCGACCGTCGGTATTTCCGGCTATTATGGAGACACCGCCGCGAACCGACCGAAACCTGACGTAGACTTCGATGCACATGTCGGGATTGTGAGTCTTCACGGATTTTATGAGGTAAATGCAGTGAAGGTCCGGGGATTGCTCCTTTGGGGGACGCTCGAAAATGCTGATCAGTTGTCTAAAGTCAACCGGACTCTTTCCAATAACCTCAATGTGAAGCGGACACCGATAGGGAGTTCAGCCGTGGGTTGGTACATTGAGGCAGGCTACGATAT